TGAACGATCTCACCAAAAAGGACCTTGTTTGGCAGTGGGGCGCCAAAGAACAGGAAGCTTTTGATAAGCTTAAACAGGCATTTACAACAGCGCCCATATTGGCATTCCCTGAATTAGACAAAGAGTTCCGGCTAGAAACCGACTCTTCTGACTTCGCCACTGGGGCTGTTCTATCAATCAAAAGCCCTGATGATCTTTGGAGGCCTTGTGCCTATTTATCACATAGTTTGTCGCCTACAGAGCGCAACTATCAAATATACGACAAAGAGATGCTGGCCATCATTAGAGCTTTAGAGCACTGGCGGCACTACTTAGAAGGTGCTAGGCACCAATTCGAAATTTGGACCGATCATAAGAACCTAGAGTACTTCATGACGGCCCGAGACCTGAACCGGAGACAAGCCCGCTACGCGGTGTACTTGTCAAGGTTCAATTATAAATTAATTCATAAGCCAGGAAGCTCAATGGGGAAAGCGGATGCTTTATCTAGAAGAGAGGATCATGCCAACGGCATTGAAGATGACAACAAAGGTGTCACCCTGATAGATCAATCAAGGGTTGCCAATGTTAGAATCGGGCAAGATTCCGCTCTCTGGAAGTCTTCAGGAAAGACATCTCCCCAGAGGAAAAGGCGCGCCTTGACGGCAATGAAAACTATTCATGGAAAGACGGGCTCTTTCATTTCAAAAACAAAATCTATGTGCCTGAGTCCGCAAGGATCAAGGCAATAGATAGACATCATGACACTCCAGTGGCTGGGCACCCTGGATGGCAACGAACAATGGAGTTGATCTCCAGAAACTACATGTGGCCGGGCATGGTCAAAGACATACAGGAATACGTAAAATCCTGTCTAAGATGCGCCATGGCCAAGAATTCCCATCAACCGCCGGCGGGTAAACTCATGCCGAACCCGATACCAGCTGGCCCCTGGCAGGATATATCGGTGGACTTCACAACGGATCTGCCCGAGTCAAACGGGTACGATTCAGTAATAGTGGTAGTAGACCGCTTCTCCAAAGAAGTGGTATTCATACCCACCAACAAAACCATCACCGCCGCCGGTACGGCAGACCTATTTAAGGATTTCGTATGGTCAAACCATGGGTTACCAGAAACGGTAATCTCCGATAGAGGACCGCAATTCGCTAGCGAATTTACGAAAGAATTATGCCGGATGCTGGGCATCAAACCTAAATTATCCACGGTGTTCCATCCGCAAACCGATGGACAAACGGAGAGACTCAACCAGGAGTTGAAACAGTATCTCCGGATATTTATTAACGACAGACAGACAGATTGGGCCAAGTGGCTAAAGATAGCCCAGTTCTCTTATAATATTAAACAGTCGTCGGCTACAGGAAAGGCACCATTCGAGGTTACTAGATCGTACCTCCCCAGAGTGGGTGTAGAACCTGGCAAAAGCAAAAACGAGGCTGCTGGGAACATGGCAAAAGACATGAAGTCTGTCTTGGACGAAACGCGCAAAGCGCTATTTAAAACTGCGGAGCAGATGAAAGACAGGGCAGAGCGTAGACGCTCTAAGGCCCCTGATTACAAGGTCGGCGACCTGGTCTGGTTAGACACCGACCACTTGAAATTAAAAGACCGGCAGTCTAGAAAACTGACCGAAAAGTGGATTGGCCCTTACCGGATTAAGGAAGTCAAACCTAATGCGGTGGAGCTGGAACTCCCAAAACGAATGAGGGTGGTACCCACGGTTAACATTAGCCGTGTGAAACCCTACAAAGGACCGCTGCCGGGACAGCGCGTAGACCGGCCCGGTCCGGTAGTAGTCACCCAGGAAGGTGAAGAAGAGTTCGAAGTCGAACGGGTGGTAGATGCACGCTTGAAGCGTGGAAAATTAGAGTTCCTGGTCCTATGGAAAGGCTATGGAGACGAGGACAGAACGTGGGAACCAGAATCCCATCTGGAAAACTCCCGCGACACTGTTCGCGAATTTTATTCTAGGAATCCCTCAGCTCCCAGGAAGCTTAGAGGCATGGATTCAAACCTTTTTAATTCCCTCTTTCAACCTATGCCCGAAAATTTTACCACTACCTCCGGAATTTGGTCTCGCCTGGAAGTCGAGCCTTAGAAGGGGGGTAGTGTTACGATAACACAATTTCCGGACATCTCCTTTCCTTTTTATTCTCCGCTTTAAACTTTATACTTTAAGTGCCACGCGGCATTTCCCTTTCTCGCGCCGCGTTGCCTTTCTTTTACTTTTAGACTTAACTCTCTCACGCAGTGGAGCTGGCCATACGGGCTAGACCCTATGACATCATCAGCCACTGCCTTCATCAACTGTATAGTACACATGTACAAACAAACCTGTAGTAGTATATATACCCCAATAGATCCAGGAGACTCCTCAGCGAGTCCTCCTGTTGTATACCAACTAACTCACTGCAGCCCAAGGGGTACCCACTCCCCAACTTCCACTACCTTTATAGTGTGTTCCTGTGTGCGCCAGAGTAACTAACTCTTGGTTGTTACACCATGGAGACATTCCGAGAGCAGTGGGAGCACCTGATCAGCTAAGACACCCTCCACAACAGTCTCTACAACCAAGACCTGAACACTGGCCATCTTCAGAACGGAAAGCCAAAGTAGAGTTACAGTCAGTGGGAGGACAGCCCCTCAACATACAGCCAGCTGATGTGGAAAAAGTCCGAATACAGCTAGACAGCCTGTCCATTGGATCAGCTTCTGGAAGGCATCCAACACCTTCGAGGAGTGATTCAACACCTTCAGGAGTGAGTGGGGCAACAAATACACAAATGCGTCTACTCCCTGGAGTACCTGCACAAGTTCCTAAAAGAGCAGTCATGCCTGCTGAAGTCCTAGGAGTACGCAGAAGCAGTCGCCAGACCCGTCCTGCAGACAAAAACCGAGATTATCAAAAGGACTCTAGATGAGGAACAGTCTCAAAAAGAGCAGCATGACAACTCCATGGAGAAACCTAATGCTCCTGAGGTTCATGAAGAAACATCTGATACAGAGGAGACATTCTTTGCTGGAATAGCAAGTACCGGTCCATCCAACACAGACCTTCCAAGGACACTAAAGGAAGCCTTATCACGTCCAGATGGAGAATTATGGAAGTCTGCCTTGGAGGAGGAACTCCTAAGTCTCAATAATAATGCAGTATATGACACTGTTCCACTTCCGAAGGGAGTAAAACCCATCACATCAAAACCTGTGTTCCGGATCAAGTTTGATCAAAACGGAAACATTGAGAGATACAAACTCCGGATTGTTGCACGAGGTTTTACTCAAAGGGAGGGGATTGATTACCAGGAGGTTTTTGCTCCGGTTGCAAACTTAGAGTCAATCCGAATTATTCTAGCCCTGGCAGCAAAGTACGACCTAGAACTTGATCAAATGGACGTATCCACAGCTTATCTCAATGGAGAACTTGAAGAAGAACTGTACATGCTTCCTCCAGGGGGTGTTCCTATCCAACCTGGATACTGCTGGAGATTGAAGAAATCCATCTACGGTTTAAAACAAGCTGGTCATACATGGAACAAAACTTTTGATCGCAAGCTCCAGGAGCTCGGTTTCACAAGACTAAATGCAGGAACATGTCTCTATGTATTCTGGGACAACAAACAAATATGCTTTGTTGTTGTCTATGTAGATGACCTCCTCCTAGGAGCTTCATCCCGGAAATTCATGGATATCACAAAAGCCAAACTCGAATCCATATTCAAAATGCGGGACCTTGGAGAAGCAAAATACATCCTCGGAATAGAAATCCAACGTGATCGTTCAAACAAAACAATATCCCTATTGCAACGCCAATACATTGACACAGTCCTGGAGCGTACTGGAATGAAGAACTGCAAACCAGTATGGACACCAATGGCTCATGGATCAAAACTCCTTGCAAATGCTCCAGGGGAAGATATTGTGTAACACGAGATGCATATTGAAGGGCGTCAAGTGTCATACCTCTCAATTGTAGGCTCCCTCATGTATGCCATGCTCGGAACCCGCCCAGACATTGCCTACGTTGTTGGAATACTAAGCAGGCATAGCTCAGCTCCAAGGAGCCATCACTGGGAAGCTGCAAAATGTGTCCTCCGATATCTGAAAGCAACCAGGGACATGGAACTACGATGTGATGGCACAGATGTCTCCATGGACATGGATTTCTATGGATATTCAGATGCAGATTGGTCTGGAGACCCAGACACATCTCGATCAACATCAGGGTTTGTCTTTATCACCATCCGAGGAGCAATCTCCTGGACAAGCAAAAGACAAAGCATGGTAGCTTTATCCTCCACGGAGTCAGAGTACATTGGATTGAGCAATGCTGGACAACACCTTGCATGGCTTCGGACATTTTTTGAAGAAATTGGACATGCTCAAAATGGACCTACAACATTGCACTGTGACAATCAAGCAGCTATCATTCTTACACGAGATCCACAGTTCCGTGCTCGCACAAAACACATTCAATGGAAATATCATTTTATCCGAGATGACTTAGTATCAAAGGGAGAGGCAGTAATCAGATACGTTCCTACAGGAGATATGGTTGCAGACATTCTCACTAAACCCCTCACTCATGAAAAACACTGGAAATTCTCTAAAGCTATGGGACTACGGTTGCACTCGAGTGGGAGTGACAAAACCGGATAAACCCGGTCTCTGCCGAAGCAGCCATTGTTCTCCATGGAGTAACCATTGTTCTTCTAGGAGCACAATTGTACTCCTAGGAGTCATTATACTGTAGCGAGTAGCACCTCCGACTATAAGTAGTAGGGGGTTTAGTATAGGAATACCTCAGTTGTTTCTATAGCCTCTCGGGCAGTGGCTGAGTTTCACTTAGTTTTATTAGTCCATGTATAGTGTTACTAGCATTGTGAGGCCCTGTACTAGCTGCTGTGGAGAAAGAGTGAGGAATAAACTTGTGCTGAGTTTGAATTATTATCTTATCATATCTAATCATATCATGATTTTTTTGCTCTAGGGACTAAGTTCTCGTGGCTGTGGAGGAGCCTTTTTCGAGCCGTGTAATCCAAAGTTCCAACGTTTTTTTGCCTCAGCTTTCTTTCATCTCCTTGCTCTATACCCGTCTGGAAGAAAGGAGACTAGAATCCTGCCACAATTTTCCATCCAAAGAAGTTTCATAAATAAGGTACAGTAAGGGGCTCTTTCCAAGGTCTGTGTGTCCTGAAAGAGACTAAAAATATGCAAATTTACTAAGGCCAAGGTTGCTAGTGGGCAGAAAACGGCGGATGTTCTGGGTGTGTAGTTACGTCGCGCTTTTTGTGACGTTTTGAATCTTCCGGTGTTCCAAGCTGAAGCCGTTGGTCCACAGACAGATGAAAAGAAGTTGCAATCCCATCATGCTTGATGATCTAGCAAACGCTCTGTGCTAAAATAGGGTCTAGCGCACATATAGCACTAATAATCAACCCTTGCACATGGACCATGGCCCGGACACATCGTATGCCTCACTCACCGAATTCACGGTGCCGTCACCATCAAAATGTGCCTTCCAGCTCCGCCCCTTTCGTTAAGTGGAAAGTGCAACTTACTCGTATAACTCCCAAAAAGGAGGAATTTTACTAGTCGTCAACCCAGAGGAATACACCCATTGATAGTGTCTCTTTCACATCTCAAGGCTAAACTTTCAAGTTATTTCCTGGAAGTATAGCACCACTCACAGTTCCTCAGCGGTTTACAATGACCTGACAGTCTGGTTGTATGGTTAGTCATGAGCGCTGTACCACTTTGTGCACCCCGAGGCTGACACGCTCATTTCATGTGCTCCAGACCACGCAGTTTACCCCGTTGTATAATCAATCAATAGTATGATGAAAAACTGACATCTTTCTGGTGGACTTGGACCTGTTTTCTGATGGGCACGGTTCCTTAGGATGTTCCTCGACTTATTTTCAGTCTTTCTCCTACCACGATGTCTCCGGAGCAGGATCCTTTCAGTCAACTTTTATCGGCTCACATATAAATGTTGGGTGCATTTGGTTGTTTCCTGTTCATCATCCCTCTTCCATCATGCAATTCACTGCTGTTTTGACTCTCGCTTGTTTCTTGTCGCTGCCTGTCTACGTTATCTCTACGAGTGGTTTCGCCGCCTCGTGTTCCAATATACAACTATCCGGTTCCGTTTTAGATGCAACCTGTGTTACAGACAGTGGATCAACGACCGCAACGGCAATTGACTTGAACAATTGTGTAGCTAATTATGATGGAAACCTTGCTTGCGCGCCCAGGTGAGTCTTTTCCAATGTCTTCATCCTGCCACCCTCACCGAGAAATATATTGTACAGTGGCTCGTACAGCAGTTCTTGCGATGATTGTTCGCTTACAGATACAACTTACTTGTTGTGCTCATGCAGCGGCAGTTCGGACGGAGGCGATCAGCCTTCAGGATACAATCTGGGTGAGTTTATATCAGTGTGCCTTATCATAGCGCCAGTCTTATACATGATTCAGATTCCTGCCTGGGTAACAATGATGGTGCTCTCACATGTTGAATGTGCTCTCTGGTGGTGAAGTGGATTTTGGATGGATGATATGAAACAAGGAGCTGCTTTTTTCGTTACTATCTATGCTCTCGGTTCTGCGTTATACAATTGGTATGGTGTTCATCAGTAAAGTGTCACTTTTCTTTGAACATGTTCGAGAGCGGTTCCAGCCTGAGTGTGTTCCACTTCTGGCCAGCCTTTTGCGACTCCTAAGACGTCCTCATAGAAATTGGCGAACATGACACCCCCCGAGTTGGAGAGATGCTGTGAAATATATATTCCCAAGAGCGTCTAACTAGACTTCTTAGTCTTCATCATTCACCGTGAACGTCGTAGTACGGTACCAACCAAAATCCAAGTAGTAACTTGAAATCAATGAAGTGTCGAGGACAAACCTGAATGTTCCGGGGTCCTCGCTCTCGGCTGAGCCTATCATAACCTGAGCTCCAAAACGTTTTTACATTCATTTCACCCAACTTTCACTCCTTTATCTCTATAACAGACATCTAGAGAACTCTCAAGTTGCTGTACACGCCAGCCAGTTGTCGATTATGGTCCCAGACATGCAAAATCTGCCAATATTCCTCAACGCTCGTCTGAGTGATGACGAGGGGCGGTGCTGAGTGCTGAGCATCGAGTCTTGCAGGGCACATGCACACCGTCAATGTTCTACCTTAAGCAGTGGTTCTGCAGACTACGTGAAGATGTACCTATCAGTAGGGAAGTTCCTTAACGGTTCCACTGGCACCAAAGCACGAGGCAAGGTTTTTTCTAAGGTGCATGACTCACCGAGAAAGGTGCCAGATAAGAGCCGTTAGACTTGCTTGGTTATTCGGTTCGAGATGTTCAGAGAAGTGATCGAAGCGTCTAGAGGAATTGCAACAATAAGCGGTTTGTGCCATTGACTAACAAATACTTAATCCAGTCTGAGAAATGCTACAAACGGTTTTGGAGGTAGGTCTGCTTCAATTACCGCTTCTTCGATCGCCTATCTTCGATGCATGAGGCACTTACTCCCTCGTTGCTCTCTCCATGGTAGTTGGGTTACTCATCAATGTCGACCATCGTGGACGCTACCCCCTTCTGGCCACTCAACAATACTCACATTTGTGGACATATCCGGCTTGATAAATTCATTTGGCCAGCTGGTGATTCCTTCTTCCCTTCACCTGTCTCGAAACCTCTCCTATGGGCTTAACCCTGACTTCTCACTCCATTCGACAATTCTGACCCCCAAGCCGCATCACGGCTGGCTGCATTGTCCCTTCATGTCGTTACTACGTCGTATTCACTTCGCCGTTTGCTTATAAGACTCAAAGTACTTTCCCCCCCACCTCAGACTTTCTTTCCCGTCGCTCACGACCTATCACAGAGTAACTACTTACTATCGCTAATGGATCCCTCGGTCCCTCTTGGCGTACGTCCATTGCTTCACAATCACTTTTCGACTACTGACGTTCACTGTACTCAGGAATCGCAACCTAGCCTCAGCGCTAACGATGCTGGATGGCCTACGCCAGCAGACGGCACCGTTGAACGTAGTGTGGGCGGTTCTGACTGGTCAAAGTATACCCACAACCCCAGCGGTTCACGATACCCCCTTTCTGCTGAAACCTCGTTCGAGCTTCCTGTCAACTCTGCTCTCATCTACTTCCTAACTCGTGGTGGTGGCAACTCCGGCGACGTGCACATCGTGAACTCGAATATCTCCAAAGATAGTGTCGATGTCCTTTTCCACGTGGACTACCACAGACAGGAAGCATTGGATCATGCCAATGTTTGCTTATTGAAGAAAGAGCAGGAAGATGGCCAGGGCGCCGGTATATTTGTAAGTCTTTTTACTCCTCCGCCTGAATGAACTGCGACAGCTGTTTTAACGCCATGTTAGACACCCAACAGTTGGCACCCCACTAATAAGCTGGACGACATGCGTTTCAAAGTCACAGTGACTTTTCCGGCCACGTCGGACGGCAAACCTTTGAGTGTGAAGGATTTTGAAAGCACTTCTTCTTACTACTCCTACCAAATTGGCAATCTCCTGGGACCAATTTACTTCAGTACCTTCAACATACATGCCGATTCCGCGGGAATCACCTCGGGAGTAAGTCCTATATCTCCCTTTCAGTTGTACACTTATTGAATCTTTTTCTAGTCCATCTTTGCAGGTGCTGGCACGTTCAAGGCCTCTAAAGCGGCTATCACAGGCGCATTCAATGTGTCCTCGTCGCTAGAGCTCACAACCACTGACGCCAAGATCACTGCTCAAGTGGGCCTTCAGAACGATGTGGCTTCTTATCTGACTGGAGTTCAAACAAGTGACAGGTTTGTACATTGCCCCGTAGATGGGTACGAGTGTATTAAATGAGATATCCCCCAGCTCTAATGCCGCCACTGGCGGCAACTTCACAGTCTCCGCCACCACTGTCAAGGCACCCATCAACCTTACTTATACAAACTCCCCCGTCAACTCTATCCAAAACCTCGTTGTATCTACCGTGTATGAACCCATAACGGTATCGTTGAACAGTGCATACGAAGGCGCTTTCAAACTCGACTCCTCTTACTCCCATCTCACTGTTAATAAAAGTGGTGCAACAGATCCATCGGGACAAGGACGAGAGCGTGTTCTGGAGAAAGACTCAAACAGCTCAGACCATGTGACAGGCTCGGCATATTGGAACCCTAATAGCGGACCGGGCCTATCTCAGAGCAGTGTTCAGTTAAAGACGAGCAAGTCATCCATCAGGCTTACCGTATGAGTGGCATCGATTTACAAGTTGCCTTTCAAATACGTAGTATCTTTCTTTATCGTTTTGCTCAATGTAACACTTTGTCTCAATATGCTGTAACAGACCTTGAAAGAATGAAAACGATATCTGTTGGATGTAGTGATGTGATGCACAAGCGGTCCTCTAAGATCCGATGTGCAAACGAATGTGTAGTGTGGTTCTTCGACTCTATGTTGGTTCCTATTACACTCAATGTGACGTACCTCACGTCAGTCTTGGATTCTTATAGGTAATCTCCATTTTGCGGTCGACTGTGACATTTACTCATTGGCCCGACTTCGAGACCATCCTTTTGTAGTAGCTCATCGTTTACTAGTAGGATCAATGCAGCGACCTTCATTCCAAACCATCGGTAAAAACTAAAGCCATTCGGTTAGTTATTGTACCTTCTATATGTAAACTCTCGACTCTGCCTTATCGTTCTTTCCACATAACCGTTTCCCCATTTGAATTCAATACTAAACCTAAATGTAAACACTGGTAAGTTCTCAACCCGATCTGCGTCCTACCATTTGCCTTACCGTTCAAATAGAGACCATGTCACCTTAGCTTCCAAGTCTACAAGCCTTTAATTACCCCCTTATCTCACTGAGCGGACCAGTTAGGTCTCATCCTTTACCACCAATGTATTCTTGTGTAACCTTTCTCGTCGCTTGGCTCGTTTTTAGTGTTTTCACAGACACTGTGGTTGAGGCTGGATATCATAATTACAGCCACAACAGGGTATGTTTATCGCTTTACAATCAATTTGCAGATCTTAGGTATCATCAATCAGGGATCACAGCTCACCATAGCTGGCGACGACGCCGGATGGCCTGCCCCTGAAGATGGCACTGTCCAACGCTGCGTCGGGAGCTTCGACTGGTCAGCGTATGTCATTAATCCCGATGGGACATCGTTTTACAAATACGGGGCCGACATCTCGTTCGACCTTCCCGTCAACTCCAATCTCCTGTACTTGCTTGCTCGCGGAGGTGGGAACATTGGTGGTGTGACCATTGTAAACTCGGATGCTGTCAAAGATACGGCTGATGTCTTTGTGTACGGGCGTTACCACACACAGGAGGCATTGGATCATGTCAATGTCTGTCTGCTGGCGAAAGAAAACGGTGAAGGTGTTGGAATTTATGTGAGTTTTTCTTTTCCCCACGGCAAACTGTCTTAACACCCTGTCAGACACCCGATGATTGGGTCCCTTCTGATGACGAAGACATGCATTTTGATGACACAGTAACATTTCCCGCTACCTCGAGTGGCGAGCTTCTAGAAATCAAGAAATTTGAGAGCAATTCTTCTCGCTACTCCCATACCATCGGTGACATCCAGGAATCAGTTTACTTCGACATTTTCTCCATACAGGCTGATACCGCGGGGATTAAATCAGGTGTGAGCTCTCCTCTCATTTCTCTTGCCTTGCACTCATTTGATTTTGCTAGTCCATCTTTGCAGGTATCGGCACGTTCAGGTCGACTAGAGCATTCATCAGGGGTGCCTTCGATGTTTCTTCTTCGTTAGAGCTCACAACAACCAACGCAGACATTGATGCTCAAGTGGGCCTTCGGAATGACGTGACTTCGTACCTTCGAGTTGATGGAGTTCCTTTAAGGAGAGATGACAAGTGTGTCACGTTATGCTAACAAATCCCAGCTTATTTACTGATATGTTCCTAGTCCCATGCAATCGACCTTTTCTGATTATGCGACCGGCGGTGACTTCAAAGTCTCTGCCAGCACCAACAATGGGCCCATCACCCTTTCTTATACGAATTCCCCAGTCAACTCTATCCAAAACCTTGTTGCGATTACCTCAGGTTCGCCCGTAACGGTATCGCTGAACAGTGCATATGAGGGCAGTTTCACTCTCGATACCACTGGTTCTAACCCTATCACTGTAAGCAAAAGTGGTGCTACGGATCCTTCGGGAGAGGGAAGAGAGCGCATCTTGGACAAAAACTCGCAGAGCACGACTCATGTGGAAGGCACAGTGTATTGGGATCCTAGCGGACCTGGCGCGCCTCAAAGCAATGTTTAAAGTGAAACGAGCAGGTCGCCCATCAAGCTTATCGTTTGAGTAATCAGAGAAGTCGGAGTCTCTCGTCGATTTGCAAGATTCTATCCGGAATTATTGGGATCATCTTGCTTGCTGTAATATCCTCTGTCAAATGAAAAATGAAAGTGATCCATGCATATCGCAGCGCTGGTAACCAGCAATGTTCTATCTATAATCATAACATGCGGACACTTGCAACTTTGGTAATTCAGCATATGCGAGCCAGAATAATTTAATCTAAATATCTATAGATAAATCAAGGACTGGGGCACGCTGAAAGGACAAAATGCTCTACCTGCGCTAGATATGCCATATATGTTAAACCGAGCCAGTTCTCTGGACTCATGGAATGCTTCAAGTAGATGGTGACTGTACCCGTCGTGTGACCAAATAAAAAAATCTTGGCAGTAGGAAAGGTGTGTTCGGGTGTGTAACTTAATGTGGGGAACTGTTAAGGCTGATAATTACATAGCGATTTTGGAGACAAACGTTTTGGAAAGTTACAAAATATTTACACGCACTACAAACTGTTACAATAGCACTTACATAGCATGGTGACCATAGCCCGATTTTGCAGGGTGATGGACTCCAAGAAGCAAGTTCTGCCGGATTTTGCCTAAATCCTCGGATTCCAACTGCATGTACTTCTTGCAATAACTCTCTACTCCATCATACTTTTCTCGTACCAACGCCAGTGTTGCAGACATCGTCTCAGGGCTAGGAAAGATAAGTGAAGCAGCCCAAGTACTAGAGATCAAAGCAGACTCACAATGCACTGAGGAAGTTCTTCAGCCCTACAGGATTGTCCTTATACGCCTGGTTACGAGCTTTGAACTCTGTCATCAACCTCGGCATGGCAGACGCTAGGCCAACGCGCGACAGAGTGTAATCCTTAACGATGCTACAATCATGGACACCCAGGACCTAAAGTAAGGGAGTATAAATCTATCGCATGGAGTGAGAGAAGATGTACTACCATTAGAAGTAGAGCCACCGCTATCCCAGTCCTGTCCTTCCCAGCTGGATTCAAAGCTTGTTGTAACAAGAGTCTAGTGTAGTGATTGGAGGCGACTCACCAGAACAATGGACTAAAACTGGCTGGTTGGGCTTGTCCCTCAGATGGGTGAAAAAATTCTTGAAGGCATATCCGTTTGTTTGCAGTATCTCGTCGTAGGCTTTGATGAAGGCCTAACCAGACGTAGTCGTTAGCAATTATTTTCTGCTTGATCAGGAAGAACTGACTGTCAACGGGCTCTTTTCGTACTCTTCAAGCCTAGTGGGAGCAAACCGTCAATTGCATGTCAATACATAAGCATGCAAAACAAACTCACTCCGCAGCAACCTCCAAATAAGTTCGTTCTACAGACGAGCTTGCATCTTGGACGAACAACCACTCTATACCCTCGATATCGAGTTTAAGGTCAGGCTCGCGGTTTAAGCGCATGTCCGTGATGGTCCTAATTTTCCGCCCGAAAAGCTCTTTTTCCCCAACACTTGTTATTCTTATCGGATCAGCGCTTCGGTGGATAATGTCTGGTTTGATCCTGATAGAGGAGAACTGGGATAAGACACCTACCCCACGAGCATTGTCCACGCCATCAATATGGACAAAGGGCGGGGGCAGCGGCAGGGGCGGAAGCAAATTCTGGCGAATTATCTCTATATCCGTACTTTTTAAGCCCATGTACTTCTTGCAATAATTCTCTACTCCACCGAACACTTCTCGCACTAACACCAGCGTCGCAGCCATCGTATCAGGACTTGAGCGGATAATGAGTAAAATTGCCTGAGTTGGCACCAAGGCACACTCACAATGCACTGAGGAAGTTCTTCAGCCCATAGGATTATCCTTATATGCCTGGTTACGATGTTCAAACTCTGCTATTAACCTCGGCATTGCGGACTCTAGGCCAATGTTTGACAGAGCATAATCCTCAATGATGTCGCCATCGTGGACACCCATGATCTAAATTTGGGGGTGTAAACCAATCGCATACATAATGAGATGTTGCCGCACCATTAGAAGCAGAGCAATCACTACCGCTGTCCTGTCCTTGCCAGCTAAATTCGAAGGTTATAGTAACAATGGTCTGATTGTTTCATGGGAGGAGACTTACCGGAGCAATGGACTAAAACTGGCTCGCCAGGATTGTCCCTGAGATGATTGAAGAAAATCTTGAAGGCAGGTCCATTCGTTCGTAGTATCTCATCGTACGCTCCGATGAAGGTCTATCGTATGTAACCATTAGCATGTACATTTAGCTTGATTGGGAACTACTGACGGGCACCGGATCCGTTTCGTAGCCCTCTAGCCTAGCAAGTAAAAATCGTCAATTATACCCCAGTATAGAAACTTGCCAAACAAACTCACATCTCAGAAATCTCCGCGTAAGTTAGCCCTTCAGGAGAGTCTCCCTCTTTAGAAACGGACAACCATTTGACACCATTGATATTGAGATCAAGGCCAGGCTCACGGTGTAAGCGCATGTCCGCCACAGTTTTAATTCCACGTTCGAGAAGCTGTGTTTTCCCTGTCCCTGTAATCCTTATGGGATCTGCACTTCTATGGATGAGCCCCTGTCTGACCTTGACAGAAGGAGATCGAGAAAACGTATCAACAGCACGGACATTGTCTACGCCGTCGAAAACAACGGGGAGGGAAGATGGTGGCAAGAGCGGGGGTTGGGGCGGGGGCGGGGCCAAGGGCAGAAGCAAATTCTTGCGAATTTGTTCTGTATCCTTGTCTCCTAATCCCACATACTTCTGGCAATAATTCTCTACTCCACCGAATGCTTCTCGCACTAGCTCCAGCGTCGCAGCCATTGTCTCAGGACTTGCATGGATGATGAGTAAAGCAGCCTGAGTTGAAATCAAGGCAAACTCACAATGCATCAAGAAAGTTTTTCAATCCCACAGGATTATCCTTATATGCTTGGTTACGAGCTTCGAATTCGGCCATCAACCTTGGCATGGCAGACGCTAAGCCAACGCTCGAAAGAGCGTAATCATCGACAATATCGTCATCGTGGACACCCAGAACCTATAGTTGGGGTTGTGAACATGTCAACCTATCGCATACAGACTGAAATGGTGCCGCACCATGAGAAGTAGAGCTATCACTATCCCTGTCCTGTCTTTTCCAGCTGAATTTAAAGTTCGTTATAACAAGATTCTGGGTGATTCATTGATTGGAGGCGACTTACCGGAGCAATGGACTAAAACTGGCTCGCCAGGCTTGTCCCTGAGATGGGTGAAGAAATTCTTGTAGGCGGGTCCATTTGTTCGCAGTGTCTCAGCGTAATCTTTGATGAAAGCCTGATTATTCGTTAGCACATTTACTTTATACTTGACTGGAAGGGCTAACTTTCAACGGGGTCTTTTCGTATACTTCAAGCCTACCAAAAACAAACCGTCAGTGACATGTCAATACAGAAGCATGCGAAATAAACTCACTCCGCAGCAATCTCCGAATAAGTTCGTTGTACAGGCGGGCTCACCTCTTCCAATTGGGGAACGAACAACCATTCTACGCCGTTGATATCGAGAGTAAGGCTAGGCTCACGGATTAAGCGCATATCGGTGATGGTTCTAATTTGGCGTCCGAGAAGTTGGTTTTTCCCGACGTCGGTGATATTGATAGGATCAGCACTCCGGTGGATGATGTTTGGCCTGATCTTGACAGAGGGAGACCGAACAAAGGTATCTATGGTGCGAGCATTGTCAATGCCGTCGAGAGCGATAAAGGGCGGCGGCAACGCGACAAGAGACTTGTTGGCTGGATCCATGATTGGCGACACTCAAAGGGAACGATGACCTTCGATGAAAATAACCTATACACAGATAGTGGGATTATACGAGGTCGATGGGCGTGCGGTGAGAGACTTGAGAGCTTGGTGTAAAAGAACAGGGACAAGAAACTGGTCAACCCCTTCAGAGTCTTGTCCTTAAATATTTGTCTCGACGTGAGGCCCGGTTCATGTTCCCGATACTCATACTCTACCAACAGAACACGTCCCTAGCAAAGTTCCGAGTGTTTCCTTATTGCAATAACACATGTCAGTGAATTCTGATTGTTTCATCTATCGGCCGACCGTGATAAGTTCTAAGGACAGAAGTTCCTGCGAGACCCATCAGGAGAGATGGTGCTGCACTTCCAGAACGAAGCTATTGTAATGTCTTCCAGATCTGTCCGGACTCTTGTACGAGGGTACTTGGCTGAACACCACCGTTGTCCTCCTGGTACAGGATTTTCTCTTCAAAATGTACGATGCAGCTTTCAGATATCAATCAGAACTCCGCTGTGATAGATATAAATGAAAACTGTGAACCTAGTTCTTTACATTGTTCAAGGCACCCAGAAAGTCATAAACGCTTTCGCAGATTGTGACATTGCGAAAGAGTCAGTTTCAAGTGCCTATTAGAACCGAGTCAAAGTTGACATGTGATGCCAGACGAAGGATGATCCCGTACCCAGTGTCAACTCCTTCCTTCCATGACATAGTATTACATCCCTAATTATATAGCGTTCCTCGTGTAAAGAAAGAAGGGGCTTGAAACACGAATCGGAACTATTCCCGTTCCATCAACATATATGCTTCCGCACTGCAGTATTGTTCCTAAGCGTATAGATCTCCTTTCTTATCATCTTTGTTATACAAGACAATCTGAATCAATCAAAACACCAGCGGTGCGAAAAATGAACAGTGTTACTAACCAAGTGAGCGAATCAGCGCTAGGTTTGTAGAAACCTTGGTAGCTGAGAAAAAGCCGGGCAGTTACTTCTTTTCCAGTGGCTTGACCTCACGAATAAACTGCGCATACAGCCAGCCCAGACCAGCTGATAGTCACATCACAGCATGGGCGCTGTAGTTATATGGCACAGAAGCCTATGCCTTTCCATAGCGATTCAATCAGGTCCGAAAAGCTACATTTCGATAACCACGGCTGATTGAAACTTCGACGACGGATAATATTAAATCTTTGAACAGCATACATGAGATCTTCTCTTACCTTGTCACGCTATAAATGCTTATTGAAGATATGAATTAATCAGGAAGATTGTTCGACCAAAGATACCACTCAATCTTCCACAAAAGGGCCTGCATTCTGCAGTGAGAATAGCTACGAAGAGACGATCGAATATAACGTACTGTTCTGATAGTTGGTCTGCGTGAGCAGCTAACCAGTGGCTACACCTCTCCCTTGGGAGTTGAACTACTTCCCTCCATGGTGAAACTAGAAACACTGATGGTGCTGTCTATTGTGTCCGGACACTGATTTCCGATAGTAGATATGGCCAAACAACAAGGAGATCATCTCAGCACTTTAAAAGCTACTGTCGACGATTGCAAGCAGTTGCAAAGGTGTGCTTTCGACAGTTACTGATTGCTCTTCTTGATCTCCGTGGTTAGCCAGAAGGTATTCACAATTGGCGCATCAGCGAGAAGTCGTGACCGTCGAGTGCTCGTTGCAAATACAAAAGATTTTGAAAAATATCAAGGAAGTTTTGAAGTCGAAACATTCAAGCTGTATAGTCTGGGCTTCCTAATCATGATGGGATACAGGTCAAAAACTCGTTAAACCCAAATGGGCTACAGTGGTCGTGCTGGCACCGGTACCCAAATAGGAAATCAGTCTCGGGTTTTTGTTTCCCGCGGCTCTCTCACCCAAGTTAGCAGTCAAGTTGCAACGATGTGACCGCTTCTGCCAAATATTTATCAGGACTCTCATTAATCTCATTACTACCATCTATGCAATAAGAAATCGCCTACAGCACACAAGGAAACTAGTAGCCTCGTTCGACTTGAACTTGGAATAGGGCGCTATTATCTCCAAGGTACGCACCTCTGAGCTTTCTGCCTGGCCTTAAAATCAGTCACCCGCTTCCAGACATATGTCGATTTATAGATGCATTCTGTGCGTATTACGCTTGCCTTGACTTTTGGATCAGATTAATAAGTTTCGGCCTAGGCAACGACGACGGTGTGTCTTCGTCCTTTTCCGTGGCTCAAACGTCTTCTAGCCTAGTAGACTTACAGTCCGTTAGAAAAGCCTGATTTCAATCGCTAAATTTGTCCTAGACATCGCCAGAAGAGCACATCCCTATCACTTCAAATTTATGGCTCTCTATTATCCTGTAAATTTCATGTCCTTCGTCCGAATATGCTGTGGCAGGTCAAAAATAAACACGATTTTATGTACTCTGAACTGGTAAACCGATAAAGCCTTGTCCATGACTACAACATATCTGAAGTGGACACTTGCAACGACAATACACCATCAAAATAGCCTGTAATAAGTGCCCACAGACAAATCAAGGACTGCCACACGCTGCAGACAATTATAAAAGGTGACAATTGCGTTGTGATTTTCGAGGCAAACTTTAGGGAGATGACAAGACTATTTATTATATAATTTTCAAGCTGTTTCGATAGAATCTACAAATCATTGTGGCTGTCACGGTTGCCCGAATTTGCTGATGAAGGCAGAAGCAAATTCTGGCGAATTTTATGCAAATCTGCACTGTTCAATTTCATATGCTCCTTGAAATAATTCTCTACTCCACCAAACACATCTCGCACGCAACGCAGAATCGCAGTGATGGTTTCAGGCCTTGAAACAGATAGTGAGTACAAAAGAGCCTGAGGTGGAGACCGAGGCACACTCACAGTGCGCTGAGGAAGATCCTTAAACCTTTAGGGTGGTCTATATATGCCTGGTTACGAGCTTCAAACTCTGCTATCATCCTCGGTAATGCAGACTCTAGGCCAACGTTCGAAAGAGCGTAGTCTTTGATGATGTCTTCATCGGGAACACCGAGTAGCTGAAATTGAGGAGCATAAGTCTATCGCATAGAGCGGGAGTGGTCACCATACCATTAGAAGCAGAGTTATCGCTAACCCTGTCCTGTCCTTCCCAGCTAAATTTGCGGCTTTAGTATAACGAGCGTTTGCGGTCGATTCATTGAGGGCGACTCACCGGAGCAGTGGACCAAGACTGGTTGGTTGGGCCTATCCCTGAGGTGTTTGAAGAAATTACTGAAGACATTTCCCGATTGTTGTAGTATGGCGGCGTACGCAACGATGAAGGCCTACCATAGCTATTGTTAGTACATTTATTTTGTGCTTGACTGAGCATAACTAACTTCTAGAGGGACCGTTTCGAAACCCCTTAGCCTTGTGAGAGCAACCCGTCAATGACAGATAAACATATTAACTACATCAAAACATTCGAACCTCTCAGCAATCTCTGCATAAGTTTGTTCTTCAGGCAGGTCATCTTCTCGCTCAACGTACACCCATTTGACGCCCTCGATGTTGAGAACAAGACCGTGTGGGCGGTCTAAGCGCATGTCAGTTATGGTGGTAATTCGATGTCCAATAAGCTGCCTTTTCCCCATTGCTGTTATGTTTATAGGATCGGCGCCGCGAAAGACAATGTAGGGTCTGATCTTGACATGGGAAGATTTGTGTATCGTGCGGACGTTGTCTATGCCGTCTAAGTGAACAAAGGGCGGGGGCAATTTGGCAGAAGACAATGTGACTTGATCCATGACGGGCGATACTGCAAAGGAACGATCGATGAGCTCCGAGCAAGACCTTTCCACAGTGTGGAATTAAACGAAGTTAATGAGCTTACAGTTGCAGGACGAGGACTGGAGGCTGTTGGCAAACTACCTTTGAACTCGCTTTCTTAGATATGCATCTCGGGAGCACCGGCCCTCATGCTTCAACCGTAGAACCCTTCGACAGAACAAGGCCCAAGCCCTGAGTGCTTCGACTATCATCTGACAGCGGTACGGCAGAGATAAGATGCTGTATGAAAAGAGTCGCGAGCAACAAAAAGGACTCTGTCTAAGATGTTCTCTCGGTGCTGTTCATTTCCGGTATTTCAGCTATTACAGATTCAGAGTGACAGGAAGACATCGACTGACATTATACGGCTACGACAGGGAAATCAGCCTCGTCAAGGTACCAAGAGACTGCTTACGATTACAATGAGTTGCAGAGGTGCCACAGTGTGTTTTCGTCGTGTTTTTCTTGGTTGTGATGCATGCGACGAATTTTGACATGATCGTTGTTGACATCTACGAGCCACAGTAAGTGTTGATACTGCTGCCATTATTGATGCATTGATGCTCGTTGCAAGTACAAGTGCAGCTGAATAGGTGAAGAAAGTAACCAAGTCCGAATCGAAGCTTTGGATGATCATCCCAAACAGGAAACTTGATCAATCAATTTGAACGCCTCAGTTTGATCCATCTTATTTTCCCACGGTTGACTCCATCCGAGTTGGCAGTCGACTTGCAAACTCGGCACAATCAGAGCTCCCGTTATCATGCCTCTTGTCTTCCCTGCCTGTTGTTCGCTTCCATAACCTTTAAATACGCCAGTCACCCTAATATACTTCTATCCACAAACTATTTTCTGGTACTCCAAATTTTGAATGTATTCTGTACTCGTGACGTTTGTCTTATTATCTTTCAAGCTATGCCTTGTTCTTGTGGATCACGTATATAGTATTAGGTCCTGGCTCAGCAATGATGGTGTGTCTACTTTCTTTACTCGAACTTCTTGTACTTAGGGTTCATCAGGACGGCCTGACTTCGATCACTACGTTTCCACCAAGATTTTACCTGCAGAGCACATCCCTACCAGTATGCTTTGACTATTTGAACTGCAGGTCATCATCTCACGCGTAGGTATATAGATCACACCAAGAAACGAATTATTGCTGTCGGTGACATACACGGCATGCACCACTCGTTTCAGTATGTTTTCAACTGCTTCGTCTTCCATTTATCACTGTTGACGCCTTTTTCTCAGCTCTCTATTAAATCAAGTATCATACGACCCAAACCACGATACACTGGTACATCTAGGAGACCTTGCCATTCGGTCGCCCTTATCCGACTCTCTAGCCGTGCTCTCTTTCTTGGAAAGCAACAACATTATGGGCGTCAGGGGCAACAATGATCACAAAATTATCCGGTGGCGAGCCTGGATTGACTGGATTTCACAGCTTCCAGATGGGAAGGAATGGTTGGCTGACGTAGATGACAAGCTATTTAGGATGGGCGACGACCCCGATTTTAACTTCAAGCGGTGGTTGAAGCACAAGAAGAGCAACAAGAAGTGGCTGAAGAAGATTCCAGACGGATGGAAAATGAACAGCGATCACTTCAAGGTCGCTCGTGCGATGTCGCAAGACCACTATGAATACCTCGCGTCGCTCCCTCTTGTACTCCATGCCCCCATAGCGCACACTTTCTTCGTACACGCAGGTTTATTGGCTTATGACGTCACCCGCAGTCCAGCACATCCCGACCAACCTCTTTCTCATATCCCCGCACTTCCTCACATTCGGGCGAATGTGTCCCTTCTTAGGGACTTGCAAGAGAAGGCTCTTTTGCATGATATCCCGCAGAACAGAGACCCGTGGGTTCTTATGAACATGAGGAAGATCAAGAAGGGCGGCAGAATTTCCAGGGGTCACACCAAAGGCCTACCGTGGTCCAACTCATATAATGATGTTATGAACCGCTGTTCTGGGTTTGTTGGCACCAGTCTGAATTCCGTCGTTATCAACTCGGATAACAAGTTTGAGTCACCCGATGACGATACCGATCAGCTTCCTTGCTATCCAGCGATGGTAGTGTATGGACATGCAGCGAGCACAGGCTTGGATGTGAAAAGGTGGTCCATTGGATTAGACACGGGTTGCGTAAGTGACGATGCATTGATGTCTGCCGTTGTTGTATTCTGATAATTATGCTGGTCAGGTTTACGAACGGGAATTGACAGCCGTTATCCTCGACTGGAAATCTTTCCAGTCATCGCCCTCGTCAGACATAACGGCTGACGAGAATGACTTGGGGACCTCGTCATCTCGTATCGCCTATGGCGACCATGGACAGGCTCAGATTGTCAGCGTGCCGTGTCGTTCTTCGTGATTGCCTCACAAGATATACATCGTTTTGTTACTCTACAGCTCAACTGCAATAAAACAATAAAACTAGTCGAGATCGATAACTTTCAGTCAACGGCTGGAAAACCTTACAACAAAGAACGAGCACATAAGGAATCGTTCTAATCTTCGTCTCGAAAGCCTCTCATTCCTCATCCCTAGATGCTCAAGTAGAAGGTTCCGACCGAGCATCTCCTTCCTGGACACTAACCGAGCATGATACATGCTGAGGAAAGAAGATCCCGCATTAGGTGCGTCACGAATGGCTGCAACATCTTCCATACGCCCCGATTACCCCCGATGAGTGTTTTCTGTCAAAAACGTCAACGTTTTTCTGGGAGCTGCCTCTGCTCTCCAGATTGAAGTTGACTGTCCAGAAAGAGTCGCGCATATATGAATTGCTGATCATTGTTGGAAGTGGAAATAGGCAGCACAAGTAGCGTGATAATTGTCCCCACGGCATTTGATGAACCCCCGGAAATTCAGTAGAAGCTATAGCCTATCAAAGGCTTGCCTCGAACTACTTCACGTGCATGTTTGACTATATCATCGTCTCAGAACGACCGTCCACATTTTCTACAAGATATATTTTGATTGACTATCATTATGGGGAATTAGGTCGGAAAATTGGGGAAACTATATGTTCTCCCTACAGAAACAGTCTGCCATATCAGTACTTTTGTTTGATAGAGGAAGACTTCTTTCGGTAAGGTCCTGCACATGACACATTTTCTACTCACAAGTGGCCGAGGAAATGAGGTCTTTTGTTTATTCGCTCGGTTTCAATCTTACTCGCTCGCGGTTATCCTTACCTCGTTTCTTGCCTTCATATACCAGGACACGACAATCTCATCATGATGCATGATCCTTTGTGCTTTCTGCTCATAACCTCTCCTACCTGGTCTGTAACTGCCCACGAATATTCATCTAGTTCCACAAGTTCATCAAGATACTAGCAGCGAATTCAATTGAGACTTTGGAAGTGAGCTTAAGGTATAACAAAATCTCTCGAATTCAGCCTATGATATGTGGTGTTGATTCCGAACGTCGCTAGATACGAGTCTCTGATCTAAGTGCCAGTGACGAGCTACTTCGGTCCATTACCCCCTGAAAATTATCTACCGTAGGTACCTTTTCTACATATCGCTATATCGATATCTCAAGCAGCCCGTCTGTAAAGGTGCAAACCGAGCCTACCCATGTCGTACATCCAGTTCTCTTCGCCTTGCTTTGTTCGTGGAAAAACTTCCGGTACTCGCAACGCTCCTCTAGTTCATCATCATGGCCATACCGCCAACAGTGTAAGCCCATCGATACCGGGAACTCATCCCTGTCGTCTGATGTAGATGACATAATATCTGCTACACTACCTTCGCGCTCGCCTTCTCCCGCTTCGGTTTGTGGTTCTCGTGTTTTTAGAAGGTCCAATGCACCACCACCCCAACGCTTTGTGCAAAGCACCACACAGGCCACTGCATCCTCCATCAGTACGCCTGCACGAACCTCGACCTCACGCTTACCGGCCTCTTCCTCTTCCTCATCAACCCAATTGCAACGCCAGAACCAACGGCAAGGGGATCGTCTCACACAACGGCGATCGAATAACCCTGTGATTACACCGTCGAAGCATAAGATCAGATCGGGGAGGTGGACTGGTGCACGAACGTAGCGACGTCAGAGGGCATTCACCCGATATCAAGCCCTCCCATTCCCGCAGTCCCTAACACCACAGATGGTGATCTATTCGTCCATGCTTACCTAGAAGGGTCGATCAAAAAATTTCAAATATGGTTCGTGGATGTGGGTAGGAAATCATGGGTCAAGGCTAAAGCAGACTTGACGGACGTTCATCCAACGCTGAAAGACCATCGTCTTAAGTTACCTTCTTCGCCTGGTCAACCTCCGACATGGGTGACTAAAAAGACGGCATCAATGTACAAAGGACGCGAAAACAAACAAGCCAGGGGTAAGTGATTTTGCAGATTGCTGTCTTGATTGCTGTTTGAACTTTTTGGTGCAGCATTAGTGAGGGCTGGTGATCAGGGAAGTTCGAGCTCGAACACTGGGAAAAAATCGGTGACTCTCCAATGACTCGCCCCTATCGCGAGTCCTGTTGTGCACTTGTCCTGACAATTAGGGCAAATGTTCGAAATCCATTACATGCCTGAGCAGAGTTTTGAAGGGAAGCTTCAGTAGACAATGTGTAGACTATGAATCTAAAGATATCCAATTACTACAATGTATTTTTTGCCATGTTGTTGTAGTATCTTCAAACATCTCTCATGACCATCGATATCTAGTGTCCACCAAAGTGGTATCAGATCCCGCTCACCTTTCTTCTACGAATATCACACTCTTCGAATCCACCCAACCTGTCTACGAAATACGGTTGTACCAATTCTGCTACTATTACGCCGGGTTTAGCAATTGTCCATGACACTGCAGTCGTCATTCGCAAGCTGCGCGGAAAGAGAAGTGGTGTCGAAGTAGATTTCATCGATAAATCACCGGATGACGAATTCGAATCGTTCACGGAGCTCTTAGAGCAAGCGTACGATGTTTACTATAGGGCAGTAGCTCGCAAATATGTGCAAAACACTGTAGCCATAAAGGAAAGACCCTCCTGTATGTATGAGAAAGAGGGCCGATCTAAATCATGATGCATGATGCTTGAAGCTTGAAGTCTTCAGGTTGGTACCTAGTTCTAAGCATCTGCAGAGCGTCAACTTTATGGAAGAACTCCTGGTCATTTCCTTTTTCGAGTCCAAATTCATGTTCAACTAGTCTGTGTCGGTTCCTTTCACTCCCCTGAACTGTCGTCGTCAGCTTCGCTCATCTGTCGGTCGCAACATCCTCTAGTCATTGCCTTTGAAAACAGTCGCGCCCTCGATTTGCTTATTTTCCACCACTGCGATCTTGCCAAAACTTTGTAGAACGATGGGGTTGGGTGCTTTCTGTTTTCTATGTATCTATTCTGGCTAGAATGTACATTAAAACCAGGACGATATTGTATGTGCATACCATGTTGTTAATTAATTCCTATATTCGGCGCATATAGGTGGACCGTAGATTATCGGTGCAAGTGACAGTAAGCATCACAAGCGTGTCGAGTCGAGTCGAGAAAATTGATAATGGACCTATGTTTACCATTACGCAGTGCTGTGGATGATACCGCATCCTAAGCACCAGTCATCAAGCCAGACAGTGGCACTCTGGCCAGGGGAGATCGCTTTCTGCGGCTCGTCGAATATTATACGGAGGTGACCGCCCCCCTCTCTGTATAGATGAACAGTACATCCAATGTCAGGCATGACGTGTCGAAATTTCATACGTGCCTTCAGACCAGCCCCATCTCGAAGAGCTTGCGGAATACTATCTGCCCAGATCCATGCCCAATTCTGGACTAGAAGGGAGCTGCAGTACAGTGCTGGGTGGTCTCTGTCAACGAGGTGCAAGATTCACGTCAATTTCACACGATGCGCACTAGGTTGATGTAGGAATACCTACGTCCCAGGAACAACATGAACCGTGTTCTTCTCAACGTCCTTTTGTGCGACGAACATCTTCTCCGGCAAACCACAGATTTTCGCACCTTGGCCAATAGTATATGTCCACAGACCTTGATGAGTTCCAAGTTCTGCTCCAGTGTTCAAATCAACGATAGGACCGGGATTTGGTGGGATGTATTGCGCTATTTCCGTAACAGTCAGAATCATGCAAAACATAACAGTGGTTTTGCACCTCACATATGAACTCGTGGAATTTACGCTTCTCTCCAACGAAACAAATACCCATGCTCTCCTCTCTAGCTGCTGTTGGCAACTTCCATTTGAGTGCTAGCTCTCTGACACTTTTCTTCGTTAGATCCCCGAGAGGAAAGAGCGAATGAAGAAGTGCAGCTTCAGATATTGATGATAAATAATATGTTTGATCCTTAGTGAGATCGTGAGCACGAAGCAACCTTGGGCGACAATGTGAGGTAGAGTCGAAAGGCATCCAATCTTTACGGGCATAGTGACCTTGTGTTGTCTAAATAAGTGGGGAAAGTGGGATAATCTTCATGTGAAGGCTTACCTGTGGCAAGCCATGGGGGGTTGGACGAGGCGGGATCCTGAGTAAGATTATCAATCAGTGCGCCAAATTTCACTTCCCTGAAGAATATGGTAAATTCAGCAAAGTGACTAACTGAAATATCACTTACTTATTACACCAGACGTCAGGATTTGGTGTGGCACCCATCTCCCATGTTCTGAGAGACGGCTCAAAGACGCGTGTCCAGTATTCTCGAGATAAATCAACCTGGACAGTGATGAGCTCATGTTAGAAAAAGAAAAAGGAAGTATATTAGGTTCATACCAAACGGCAAGGTATGTCTAGCAGCGCGCATACCCGTTGTACGTCCTCCCAGTCCTTTTCCCACTCACAACCATGGTCAGAGCCAGACTCGTCTCGGGTATCCCAGTTCCGCATAAAAACAGCCGATAGGTCATAATTCTGACAGCCAAAGATCGATATTTGGTGGTGTAGGTGATGGGCTGACGTACCTTTTCTGCCAGGATTTTTGCAGTTACAGAAGAATCGACACCTCCAGACATAGCCACGACCACTACACGACGAAGAAAAAAAATGTAAAATTTGACAATCATGTGAATTGAGACCAAGCTTCACCTTTGTCACCAGGGATAGGCTGCTTGTTCCCATGATATCGTCTGTAATGTAGTTCCTTGATAGATGGTCTCTGTGTAAAATACCTACACCGCTGAGCTGCTACGCTCAGGTTGGTGGCACGTCTAATGATCATGTCCAAGCGTGACCTCGACGCGTGACCAATGTGACTCATTAACGCGTCTTGATCTTGTTTAATATTCCCACGCCCTACTTTACTGCCACACCCTGTCACAGTACTAAGACATCGAGGTCGCTGTCGAGCTCATCGTCCGCAACGATGCCGCGAGAACCTGAACGCAGAAAATCAAGCATAGGAAGTCGCAGGGGCCCTCCAAAACGACATATCCCATTTCGCGGCGACGACCTAGGCCTGGGCAAGAAGACAGGCATTACTGTTGACTATGTTGACCCGGACTCGGATGAATTCGAGCCTTTTGTAGAGATCATGAAACAGGCAGACAAAAGACCCCAACCACAAGTAAAGACAAAGAAGAAGAAGGTATCTCTCGCCCCACCTTTGGAGCTCGATGAGGATGGAGAAATGTCTATGGATCTCGCAGAAAGTGAGCGTGCAAGCATATCATCATGCACGCAACTCACCATTTCATACAGGCAATCAAGGCAGTCCTTTGGCATACTTCACGAATGCGCATAGATCAATTGCTCCGAATAGCATTAACAGAATTGGATCCTCCTCTCGCGCCATTCCACGCGTTTCCGATGTCGATTATGACCAAGTACCTTCCCCTCGACCCCGTTCTTCTCTATACTCCAGACGCTCTTCTTTGGCAAATGGCGCAGGCCCATCGAACCTTTCAACATCTCACACTGCACTCGATCCAGAACTAGGCTTTGAGGACGCAGACGGCGGGTTTGATGACTACGAGCCTCCAGAGAATAATGCATCCCCTGAAGTCAGTCCGAGAAGAACAAGCTTTACGCAAATAGATCAGGATGGTGAAGATGAGGAGGAAGCTGCGGCAATAGAAGAGGACATTATCAGTCGCCCTCAGTCTTCGAGGAAGGGGAAGGGGAGGGCAGATCCGACTGTTAATGATGATATCGAGCAAGGTAGTGATGAGAATGTCGAAGATGAAATAGCTCGAGGACTGGAAGATGTAGACAACGGTGAAGCAGATGCAGAGGAGGACCCAGAGAATGACCCACCTGCTAAGAAGACTCGAACAGAAGAAGAGCAAACGAAGAAATCAAAGGGGCGACCAAAGAAGGCCGACAAGGTGATGCAAAGTGCTGAACGTAAGTGTTTTGAGCGTCGTGTGTACATACTACTTATCTTTTTTGTACAGGATCGCCAGATCCACAAGAAGTTCGACGCGGAAAGCGACATCGATATCAGCCCCTGGAGTATTGGCGTCAGGAGCGCGTAAAGTATGGTCGTAGGGACTCGGGAGTCACACTTGTGCCGCAGATCAAGGAAATTATACGAGTTCCAAAAGAGCCTATAGTTACACTGGGGAAAGTGTCAAAGAAGCGGAAACGACCATCGAATCCTAAGAATCCTGAAGAAGGATGGGATGACAACACGGAAACAATGGGGATCGTCAAGGACTATGTTACAGGCGAAGAAGTTGAGAGACGTGAGTGGACGTCTATACTGGTCAATTTTGATATTAATTTACTGATCTGGCTATTTGTCAGGTGTTGCGTGGACCAGTAAGATGGTACAGCCAAAGCAAGCAGCAAATAGTGATTGGTTGTTCCAAAAAATATTTGGAGACGGGGATTTCATAGCAGCTGGTCAACTTGTGATACCACCAAAAGGTCGTAAACCAAGTAAAGGCTCAAAAGACAACACATACGTTCGTATCATGTTTATCATAAAAATATCTAATTCCGAACTTAACCTCATAGGTCTTCTATGTGGTTGAGGGTGCAATTAGTCTCCAAATACACGAAACCGACCTTGTCCTTGCAACAGGTGGTATGTTTCTTGTTCCTCGTGGTAAGTCTCAGTTCACCTCCAAGATACGTGCCGCTTGTTTACTTGGGCTACTAGGCAACACATATTTTATCGAGAATATCTGTGATCGTAACGCCAAACTCTTTTTCACCCAAGCCCGGAAGGTTCCGATGTCAGACGAAGAGTTCTCAGACCGCATGGCGCAGTCAGTCCCACCTTCTGTCAGACCAAGGTTTTCTGATTCTGCTGGGCCCTCAGTGGACCCCCGTGGAGGAAAGTCTTCTAGTGCTGCCGTACCACCAGTGAAGAAGGAGAAGAAGGGTACAGGAAACAAGAGAGCAGCTTCGACGAAAGTCTGACACATCATAACTTGAGCCTGTAAAAACCCTTCATGTACAGCACTGATTTTCGAGGTACATACTTCATTATCATTTGACTTATTGATTTACCCCAGTCACATTCCATGTATCTCACATCTCACACGGCCGTGTCACTGAGGGATTATACCGTTGGATTTCAGCGTGTATGCTTGCGTTAAAGCCGGTAGGCAGCTTTTACATTTTCTAATGTCACTCCGTTGTGATTGTCAAGACCACGTGATTGTGATTTGAGGACATGGTATGTACTGATAGGGACTTATAAACAAGTTCACGTAGAAAGACAAAAGTTGCATACCTATGAGATTATAAATCAAGAGTAACGACTTCACTAGAATACCCCATTTGAAGCAGAAGGCAAAGTCTGCTAGAACACTCATCCCAGGAAGCCTCACAGACATCCTCTACGGGTATATTACTAAGGTCGACAGGAACCACTCGTGCAGAACTTAAATAGGGCGGGTTAGATCCCAGCCGCATGTGTCCGTTGTGTCCGCGATAGTCATACGGGAAAATGCACGCTTGCAGGCCATCTGCACCGAGCCAAAATGCGCGGCGAGAGCTCAGAGTTGCATTTAGATGCCATGCGTGGTTGAGTCCTTTCCATTTTATCTCGTATTTTCGGATGCACGAATCGTCCAGTGATGAATAGTCCCGATCGCCGCTGTCGATAATTTGCATATGGTCTCCAAAGTATATAACGAGCGGCCCCTCGTGGCGACCCGTTGAAGAGTTCCAAATTATGGGACTGATAGGGTTACGGTACATTCGGTGAGATGGGCATGGTGAAGGAAGAGGCTGCTGCCAAATAGGATTGGTCGGGATAGGTGTAGTACCATGCGAGAATTTAGTTGCTGGGTCTGGAATATCGGATATGGCTACAGCATTTGGATTGAAAACTAGCATAGAACGCTCAGAAAGAAAATATACACGACGCTGCAACAAAGTAATATAGGGATAAATATTTTTGCTGGGATTTCAAGCCACCATACTCACGTATAATTCGGGACCTAGTAACTCAGAGTTAACATCAATAACAAGCCCTTGGTGATTTGAATCGGAAGTGCTACGGATATGCACGGAACCGGCTAATAAATCCGGGATTGCAGCCCACAAGTTTCCTGATGCAGACAAAACGCAAGTGTCTGAGACAGAGTTGTGAGGTATGTCGACGATCAATATCTTCTCGAAAGAATGGTTTTGCATGTTGAGACGGAACATTCCAAGTTTAGTGTAATGTGATTCAGGCGACCTAGGTCATATGATTATTCACCGGTATACTACCCAGAAGGGAGATAAAAGACTCACCCCACATTCAACATGATGATACTAACCAAAATTAGAACGTTGTGTTCAGAATCGAAAGCAAGAGACATTCGTTGTCTCATGCTACGTCCCCGACCTCCATATTGGAGACTACTCTCTGTACATATGGGTTCATGAGAATCGATAGTATGCAGATGCAACAACCCCTTGAAGCCAAGAAGAACGACAAACTGCCCCCCAGGTATTAGTTGGATAGTGCGCACCCCTGGGAGATAGGGAAACCTCCTAATTGTACGAGGAACTATGAGATCAGAGCAACAACTACGTTCCAGGCGAGCTGCAGTTATGACGCGTTTCCTGAGCTCCGCAGACGACATGGTAGGTAAATCTACGCCAACCCGACAACGTGCCAAAGGAGCGATTGATAGGATATCGCGGTATGCATGATCCCAGACAAAGCGCTCATTCATAAGATCGTTTAGAAGTTTACATGTCTATTCGACGCATAAAGGAAGCTCAGCAGAAACATATTAATGAGCACGATAGCGGCACGCACCCTCTCCAAGTTCAAGATGTCACGAACAGGAAGATACAGAGATATCTCTAGCCATATGTCTGGCTTCAGGTAGCCCAGAAGTTGCATGGTGTCAAAGATGCTTGATAAGGCGGTCCTTGCTGACTGGATATGCACCTTTGTGTGGGACTTGCGTTGTGCAAAACATAGCCTTCATTACGGATACTGTAAGCTGAACTTCAGGCTGAGGCATATGACTGGCGGATGCCGAAAACTGGACCGTTTGAATTTTGATAGCCGCTCCTTCAACGTCCCGTTCCGTGTCCCCAGTGTGCACTGGCACGATCATAAAGACTTTCATATCAATAACGCTCAAATGCGAGCAGTCGTTCAACGCGTTGCATCTGCTTCTGTGACAGGTAAAGGAGCTTCTTAATGAACATCATGATTTGGAGGAATAACGAAAGCCCACAGTCAACAATGAAGTAATTTCCCAGATTTCTCGAGGTCTGATGGTCCTCGTTGGCATTGGCACCGGTGCGTTCAGTAAACGGTTGCTTGCTCGTACATGGGCGTCCTCATGTCTGATTGAGGAATTGTCGGATCAAGATAGATGATACTCTTACTGATGTTGAAACACTGTCCAATAAGATGTAAATGATAGTTATCATAATATCAGTATCACGCTGATCTGCGTTCCACTCTTTTTTCAGTTTGTCACTACGTGTTTTCTCAGATGCAAATAGTGCCATGTGGAAAGCCAGTGTCAAGGACATACAAGGAGAAATTCTATGCGTATCTCAGTTCACACTAATGGCCAACACCACAAAGGGGAACAAACCGGATTTTCACCGTGCCATGGTACGTAGATCTCTTCTCACAGATCCCACGACTCCTAGAATCCGTATCTGATTCAAGATCACTATTTTTCAAGTCTACAGATCTGTCGCGGCAGCTCTATTCCACGTTTTTAGAAAGAATGCGACAACGCTACGTCCCTGACAAGATAAAAGGTGAGTTAATATAGCACTGAATACTCGCGGCTACTTAATCGTCTTAGACGGTCAATTTGGAGCTATGATGGATGTCAGTTTAACTAACGAAGTATGTGTTACATGCACCTGTATTTGACCTGTTCTCAGTGCACTGACTTCACTGTTTCCTTGGCATGCAGGGACCTATCACGTTTACTTTGGATTCACGGAAGTTTGAGTACATTGATAGTGCCAGCGGTAATAATTCAACAAAGAAAGTGAAGGCAGACAAGGAGAATCTTTCTAAATACGCTGAAGGGGAGTCTATGCCAGAAGGAAATTAAATGTCCGCAGATGGATGGACGAAAAACCACTGGCCACGATACTGGATAACGAGCACAGCTAATTACAAACTAAGTGATACCAGTTTATTGTTGGTATGTGAGTGGAGCAAATGTATATTCTAGCGTGATATCGAAATACGCAGAAACTAGACATACGTTATAGCATACCTCCTACAAGACCCACAATAGCCTTCGTCCTCCAGCGAACTTTCCTTTCATCACCTTTCCAGGGGACTGCCCAATGCCTCAATCCTACTACCTCTTGGCGAAGCGTGTGTCTCAAGGCCTCTGAGGAGGTCATCATGATGAAAGATAGCTCAGTGTCCAGATGAGATGAGCGTGAGTTGAGATTCGTGGAGCCGAAAAGTGTGAGCACTGGGGTGGTATCGGGTGACGGAGATAACCAAATGCCTAAGGAGATTGCGGAGGTCGGGAACGAGGAAAGCGCACACAATCATAGAACCTACCTTTTGCGTGATAAGTCCATCCGTCTTTCTCCCACTCCTTCAACCGTACATCGTTATTAAGTGATTTTCCCGTCGATGATATTCTCCCTGCGGCTCGTGCAGCTCTCATGAACCGCTGTTCCAAAAGCGTGTATCCTTCTGGAATTAGTCCCGAGAGTCCACCTGAGCCATAAAATCCATTTGCCTAGATATATCTTCAGTGACATGCGCGGAAATTGAAACCATGCTTGTTCGTTCACCTTTGGGCTTGCGGCAATAATATCGCATCCAATAGATGAGTTGAGCACTAAATCCTGATAAGGTTTGTACAAACCGAAGTAACCGCTTGTTAGGTCCATGGATGGGTTACTGGATTCAATACATCGTTGAGAATTGAGATGTTCAAAGAGTAGCGATAGACTTTGTTCTTCCTCACGAATGTTGAACTGACCCGCCTGTATGACGGGAAATAGTAAAACATCGTTACCGGAGGCGCCTTTGAGCTCTGGCGAGCAAAGTGAAGCAGACAAGTTAGAATACTGAAGCTTTTTCAGAGCGCTTTCAGCTTTCGACTGGAAATTCCACGGTCCTATGTCACGGTTAAGCCATTCAAGAGAATGTCCATTTGTAGTATTTGAAGGAAGCAATCGATAAGAAAAGTTTGAGATTGTTCGTAGGAACGAGAAACAATAGTTTGTCAAAGCAGGTTGGGCCGAGAAATGGAAGTAGCGATCTTGTCGATCCGTAAAGTAAGACTTGTTGAGGTTTGCGCTTGGCAAGGCTATAGTCCGCATATTGAAACGTTTTGGAAACCAACGTACCGACTCACCCACTTATGATGACCTCGTCATCAGCCCCATAAATTTTAGCATGCCATGTTCCCCACCCTTCGTTGAATCGCGGGGGCACCATTTCCGCCATAACACCTTTCAGCTTGGGACTGCGGAAAAGAGAGATGTGTATCCTATCTTGATACTGGCGCAGTAGAGGCAAGAGAGAGAGAATTGGAGAGGAGGGTCCTGGACGAGTGGACCTGTTGTAATCCAGTGTGAGATAGACATGAAGGTCTGGATTTCTCGACAGTGCCAAGTCTAGAGTGTCTATCTAGATGTCATTAAGTGAAGCGCACGCAAAAAACACGATGGATTCGCGCACAAGCTCATTTTCTGAAGATCCAATGTACAAAGAGGACAGGAATATTCGTTTCCGGGCTCGGAGAATGATGTTCTGAAGGCCAATGGGTATTTTCGAAGTGGAAGGAGTTCGGTTCTGATGTACTTACTAGGAGACTTCGATAGAAATCAGCAGGTTCAGAGAGCACGCGCACGCTTTGTGAGGGTAATGAAAAGCACGGCTGTTTCGCGGCCAAAGAAGACGCGAAGTCACGAATGGTCGGGTCCAAGCGAGATGTGGTGATGCTGTGTATACGCTGGGCATCATGCAACCTGTAAGACCAGCTCCTAGGTAAACGCAGTCTTTTCGCACTGAGCTGGGCAATGGCAAGCATTGGACGGCTGCAGGATATTCGGTTCAAAATTTGAAGAATACGAAATCCGCGAATGTTTTGTGGCTGAGCGCTGAGCGAACATGTTAAGAAGCGAGCTGACAAAGATAACTCCTTTTGGACTTGCTTATCTTGACGTCTTCAGATCCTTGTGGCTGGGATATTAATGGCGGCGGGATTACAGGTGGTTCATTTACTTCACGTTGAGGGCTGCCTCCAGCACACCTTCTGACAAAAAGCCTGCAAGCTGTTTCTGTCCTGAACCACAACAATTGCTATGGGTTCGCTGTTGACCATGGCGGCCAATGCATCCGTCTCTGGCAAGGACAGTCCCCGTGGATCTGCTTATCTTGCCTCAAAGATAGGCTCTCTCCTCACTTTCCCTTCTAGCCTCCTTTCCCGTATGCGGAGAATCGATGGTTTTCTCAACCAGGATGCAAAGTCTGTTCTCGAACTCCAACGGCATGAATTTGGTCATCCTGGCTCTAACGTAGCTCACACCATCCCTCCCCCTATTTTTGCACCCTTGCCGGGTCCATGGGGCTTCCTAATGTCTGGTTATATCGTCGGTTTGATTGCAATGGTAAGTGACTTATCTCTGTAAGTTTATCGCCTTATTTATACGCTTTCCAAGACCTTTATTCTGCACCGAATCCAGAATATAGTGGTCCCACCCCAGCATCGTCCCCCCCATCATCAGCGGCATCATCAATCCGTCTTGCGCTCGATTTATCACTCGATCTTTCCCTTAGACTTCTCCTCGTCAATATGTCGTCTTATCTTTCGCTTACCATCCCTCTATTTCATCAGCAAGGCACTCTTCATGTGGACAATAACATTAATCCATATGTCTGATTACCTTCCTCCCGAAAGCTCAAGTTGGTTTGAAGGAGCTACTCAATGGATTGCGCAAAGAGAAATGGAAGATCTATGCTGGTTCACGTTCTGCTCTGTTTGTGGGGCTTTGTGTGTTGAGGCAATAACACGTGGCCTAGAAGGTGGAACCAGTCGCGCTTCACCATTCAATCTCGTCGGTATCGCGATATCTTGTTTAGTCATAACGCTAATATCCTCTCATATAGTTTGGATATGCATTTCTCCTCCATATATATTCATCGCCCCTGACTCATGACCTCAAATTGGAGGGAATGACTTCTCGTCCAGACAAACACGTTATATTCACCATCATCTTGCCACTATTTCAAGTAGGTACTACTCTCGTCTACAGCTACAGCTAATCTGAAACTAACGAATCACATAGCTTGCAATGGTTCATTTCATCGGTATTAGGCGACGGTGGTCACACCAAAGACTCGTTCCGTCATCAATTATATCAATACTCTCGCTCACACATTTTCATGCTGTCCTTTGGTTTTCAGAATCATCGTATCCTCTTCTCAACTACATGCCATGTCTTTTCGAATCAATATTGGTTTCAGTCACGCTACTCGCTATATTCCTCGACATCATGACCCAAATTTTGACAGAAGGCTCCATCACGCGCCCCCTATTCGGGCATCATGCAAACCTCCTTCCAAAATGGGACGAAGACTTCTCTATCGCCTTGCTGCGCTTGGGCACAGCAAGCCTAGAGGCATCAAGCGTAGCAGGCTTAGGGAATGAGGTCGGTGGCGTTGCAGCGTTGGAGCCGACCAGTGGCAGACCGCAAATGGAGTACGGAACTCTCGAAATGAATCGTAACGGTGTCACTTCAATCTCGCCAGCCGTGGAAGCAAAGGGAAGCCTGAGGAAGAGAAAGAGAGGATTTGCAAATGAAATTAGGAGCATCAAGGCGATATCGAATGATGGTGATCTTTGGATCGACATGGCATGGTATCGAGAACTGGCGAAATTTGGAGTAGGTGTGGGCCGCTTTTTGAAAGGCCTATGGAAGTTATTTTGGAATGCGGTACGGGAGCGCTCGCTGCGTCATGGTCCTCCCTTTGCCTTGGAAACAGATGAAGATGCGACGATTCCCATTCAGGACAATAATGAGCAGAGGGATGAAGTTTTGCTTGAACGTTTTGCCAGAGGAGAAGACATCAGCGATGACGAAGAGGATTTCGAACCTCCGCCAAGATCACGGTCAGACTCGTTTGGCACGCCATCTTCCGCGTCAGACGTTGCAGGCGATGAGATGGACCAAGGCGAGACTGCCAACCTCTACGCAGATTTCTCCTCTATAGCGGAGACCACTGCTCCGATTATGCTTGCCCATATGGCAAATGCGTCCTTTTCGCCCCTTACTAGGCGGCGATACAACAATCTAGTCGCTAGGGCATCTGCTAACTCCTCGTCGATCGATAATAGAGGTGAAAACTGGACCGAGATCGCATCCGACCAGCAAGGTCCCGCGAGAACAGCATGCAGCTCCCGGGCAGATGATGCACAAGCAGATTCTCGTAGGAACTGTGTTATATGTACAGTGGAAGCTCGACAGATCATCTGCTGGCCTTGCCGGTGCGTATCTGGGTGTTCTAAGCTGAAGCAATTACTCATTGTGACAACAGATGTCTCGCATTATGCGATGAATGTCGAGGAAACTTGGCCACACATGCCACTGCGTCCAAACACAGATGTCCATGCTGTCGACAGAAGTAAGTACAGTCAACCGTTTAACAGTGTCAAACGCTGACCCACACCATTTCCACAGCGTGGAGGGCTATTCGAAGATATATATACCTTAAAGGGTGTAATAGTAAGCTTGTTCTTGTAGGATTACCACGAAATGCTCCTGTTTGCAATTCATATTCACGTACACCATCTCAAACGCTATTCCAGACCCTGCTGATACTGCCATCGCGTGATGCTAAACGAAGGTGACCAGACGAAGGGAAATTACCATCCGTCACCTGGAACTCACCATCCTGAAGTCACAGTTGATAAGCTGCTGAGTTGGGATTATCCGTAAGGAGGAATCGATCGTACACGAATCCAAGTGGCCCATCGATGATACAACGGGCCGCCCCTTGGGAAATCCGATGCGCTGAGCGTAATTGCATGTTCGACTACCGCGTGGTGAATGGGGATGCGCTACGCCCCGGTATCATGATAAGTACTGGCCCGGTAACTGCTAAGTAGCATATCAATAGACAGTATATTATTAGTGACAGGTTAAATTTGGTCCCTGCTGTCCGTAGCCTGATGAATGTCTTAATATAGACCAGCCTAAAACGCTGGTACTGTGGAAACTCAAGCTCAGATTCATAAAAATAGGAAATTATAGGCGATTCTGTATCAGGTTGGATGGGTCAAAATATATAAACAGATGGTAGAAAAGAGACAGCGCACAGTAGCCGATGATTGCATCGCTGGTACAGTCTTGAGTTTCATGGCAGGATGAAAGGAAGAAGATAGCTAGCTGCTAGCCCGGAAATCCAGAACCTAACCAATAATCGCATGAGTCCATGAAAGCTCGTCATGCAACGTCCAAAACTTGGAAATCACGTTCGCAGAGAGCAAGTCGATGCGTCGGACCCGAACACTGAGATATTGGTCGCCACTATCAGATCGAGCGCGCCTGTGGCACGATAGTGCGATCTCTGTGCGAGATCATCGGCTGTGTAGATGAGGAACGACTATGAGAGACACAGTGCGGTATGAGATCCCCTTATAAAGCGTATCGGCCTCATCGCGTGCCGGAAACCAGATTCCAACCGCGATCATTTCTGTCCGCAGACGGCCCACCAGCCATCGAAGGGTGCTAGAACCATATTCAGCGTTTAAAGTAACGCTGGTGGAATGCCCTTGTCAGAACTTGTGATTGCGACGTGGAAGAGAGGTCTGCAGGGGGTCGCCACACCTCGTAACCTTCCCAATAACAGTGATTGACAGACCCACACGAGGAAATGAAATCTCCCCAAGAAGGCCATCATTATACGACACCCCAAAAATTGCCACTGCGTCAACAATAACAGCACTATAAGTAGGACTGGCGCTCCGTCGCTGAGATGAAGGGGGAACTTGATAGAGATCTGAGATTCCAGGGGTGATGGACATCCTTAAACAGTAGAAGTGCGAGAGATGCGATGCGCTTGAAGAACGGATAGAGAGGGCCCAAAAATCGAATAGTATCTGCGTGCCGCCGCATCAGAGTTTGAAGTGGTGCTAATACGTAGACTGTGGTGCGTATAATTAAAGGAAGTTTAAACACACCAACTTGAAACTCACCTGGGAAAAAAGCCAGGCCTGGGCATATGCGCGGTCGCAGCCATGACCGCAAATGCTGACCATCTTATTGGCAGTTTGACTGATACTTCCAAGTCGTATGAAGACTGTTGTTACAGTGCCTAGGTATGTCGGTGAAGGTACGTAGCGTTCAGAACCATGGCACAGTTGGATATACATTAGTAGGTTGCATGTATGCGCGCTGGCAGCCTGAGTAGGCCAAAATAGTGACAGCTTGACTGATATGTCCAGGTCGCCTGGTGACTATGATAGCTCCTATGAGGAGCTATCATTCTAAGCCTGTCCAGACTAGCGGTTTAGAAGATGAAGGTGTTTAGTCCCAAACGTAAAAATCTTGAAAACAATATTATGTGTCGTACCTTACAGGACTCGAATACAGGTACAATTGTTATCAAAAGTCACATCAGATAAATATTGAAGATAAATATTTTCTGAAGCCACCGGCTAACATTTGCATGGCAGGGGAGAGGAAAGCGGAGGACGATCATTTGCGACCGATGATGAATTTAGGTGCTCAATAACGGATGTAAAGCCGAGCGCTGGTACCTGACCTGTCCCTTGCCTTCGAAACCAAATGACACAGCAAGGCTGACATCACTGACAATGTTGTTTTGACAACATCCCGAGGCGCACAAAAAGCTGGGGAAATCCACATCAGACGATGCTTAGCAAGCATATGAAATCATTTCATCACGAAAGAGCTGTGTCGCCGAACAAAAGGCTTGTAATGCTTTGGCGAGCACAGCGATTTGTCACTTGAAACTTGTTATGGCATGTCGTTGTACGCCCTTTGTCTTTCTCCTTGGGGACAACCCAACAAAGTGTGCCAAAGAAGTCTGGGGTGGTTGTTTGGTTCCAAAGGTTTTGCCAAACATCATCGCGTGCGATTCCCACGGCTGACTCCTATCGCGTGACAAATTGGCCCAAAAAATATTCGAGTCTAGTCTCACCAAGGCAGGCACTGGAGTGGAACGATGTGAATCAGCTCACTTCCAAGTCTTACGATTCGAGTCACTAAAGGAGGCTTTCAGTGACGCTGGGGTGACGTATTGGTCATGGAATCCGTCGGGCGAGTCATCGGAAGCCAAGGCGGGCCAGAGAGCGCCCGCGTGAATAAGAGTCTACTAAGGAGGCAGCGGCTGAGTCAGATCAATAGGAGTAAGCTTCAGGCTGGCTAAGAGTACGAGTCACAGCAATTGGGCCATGTCTGATGCGACGGCACAGACAAGAGACTGTCATGGAATGTTCTGCCGTGATGTTGGGTTGTAGTACGTTGCCTTGCGGAATGCGACGGGCTACGTGTACGGACACGCTACAATACGGCATGAAACGATCGACGACACGTCCTCCAGTCATATGAGCGCTGCCGCGTTGGGAAAATAAATCATAAATAAATTGTCAGCAGTGTGACTGAAATCGGAAGGTGCGACCGACCGAAGCTAAATTATTAAATTATTACGCATCTATTCCATTCACTTCAGTGAGATTCGGTGACGTTTCATGACTCGCAGATTGGAGCATGCGAAACTTACAAAGCAGTGCTCACTATGAGTAATTTTCTTCGGTCGCTTCTGTTCGCTCACTCATCGCGTCGTGACAAATATGTGATATGATGTTATTCTTCTTTGGAGTTGTGAGTGCTATGGTGCAGTATGTAAAAGTGATATGAACAAATTATGCGCTGTATATATTGCAAATCCTTGTAGGATTGTAGTCGAAGGATATGATTTGGACGAAGAGTAAGATAGAAAATGCGGGACTTGTGTCAAAAATATAGCGACAGTACCACAATAAATTTAGATGAAAAGGAGACAGATCATTTTTACGCGGCCACTTGAGTCAGGGGATTTTGAGTCGATGTGAATGGATAAGAAAGCAGATGTGAATAATGAGTGTGTGGTTCATGTGAAGATACAGAATTCGATTGGGAAATGGGAAGAGGGAAAGAACGTAGCAGGTCAAGTGTAGAAGGATAAGGGTGCGACTTTTTCGGCTGATGTGAGTGTACCGGTGCGGGTACCGCATGCGTGGGCATCGAAAGTTCCAAGTCCTTGTGGTGAGCCTTGGGAAGGCTTTCGGGAGGATATACAAGGGATTCCGGTGTGCGTGGTGATGGAGAGCTGGACGAAGAGGATGACTTGGGACTGGAGGGATCCAAATCAGGGCAGACGGTGTGTGCGCTTTCACGATGGTGTGTGGAACGAGAAGCAGTGCGTGGGGTGTGCTTGGAAGAGACACGACGGTGGTTGTGTGTAGGTAGAGCGACGGCAGAAAGGCCGTCATGTTGGCTCAGAACGTCATCCTCCGTTACGCCAAGCTCGAAATCAAGGACGTCAAGGAATTCACGCTCGATGCGACCAACATCACGTTTTCCGAATACGCCTGTGCAGAGCGCCCAATGGACGTTCTTGAGAGTAGAATCGTTAAGGTACTGGCAGAATGACAAGAGATAAGCACGAGATAGACGAGACGAGAACAAAAGAAAACGTACCTTGCTAGCTACCATTACGGCACCGAGAAATACACGCTCGCATGCCCATTCCTCGAGGGCAATCTGGAGATGAGGCTTGGCTCTGTCGATATAGACAAGAGAAACCAAGACAACAGCTAATGGGACTTCAGCGCGAGTGAGAACGTTTGATACGAAAGTAGTGAAGGCAGTGTGTTCAGGGCGCCTTGAGAGGGAACGACCTCTGCTGGAAGATGAGGGACGACCGATAGCATAATCGACGGTGTCCACGACGCAGTCAACAACATATTCTGAAACGACGATTAGATGGGAACTAGAACGAGTGTTGAAGATAAGAGACATACCTATGACTGGACGAGATAGCTTGACCTGGAGAAGCTCGAGGAGTGCAGGTGAGTGTAGAGCAGGGTCGACAAGACTGGCACTGTGTATTGGGGAAGACTTGTTTTGGATGAGGGCTACCATGATGAGCTAGAAGGGATGGCTGGAGGTAGTGAGAGTAGGTGAGATGGCCTGGGCAGAGGCGGGGATGGACACGGGTTGGACATGGCTGTGGAATGGTTGTATATAAATGCCCACAGGCGCCGAATCGGACAAGTCGCAAAATGGTAAGAGTGACAAGGCATATTGGACGATTAGAAAGGAAGAATGCGTCCGAGTCAGAGTCAGTCCCAAAACGGGTCGCAGCCGCTCGCGATGAGTCCGACCCAGCTCGGACACCGCGTTGGCGTTCGGCTCGGCTACCGGCGCACTGCGCGTCTGTTTCGAGGATCATCTCGGCTTGGCCATGCCGCAGCAATACCCCCGCAGCCACTCGCAGCGGAATTCCACTCATGCCGACTGTGCCGGTACTCTCCGACTGAACGTCGTCAACTACTGCGATGACCACGGCTGCGTCGCACAGTCATCTAATTTATTATATTTCTTGTTATCTGCCTTATTCGACATGTTATCAAGTGGGTTGGTTTGCATTCTGCTGATGTATTATCCATGACAGCCTGAGGGGGCTGGAGTCGCACTGAGCCTGACTGTATCATAGCAGAAGCTGGCCTGTGAATCTCAGCTCTATTCTTTTCGATAAATATCACCTGGTGGCACAGGAAATGATAGATGGAAGATGGGCTAACAATGGCTGTGGCATGGAAGCGATTCCAAGTCCATAATCCTCCTAATAATATCGCCCAATTTGCTCTATAATTGCATTATGTCTGCACATCATTTTACAGCCCAGATTCAGAACGGCCGATCCAGCTGGCCTTGTTCCCAGAACCTCGACGATATTCTTTCGATCTCTGTCAGCATCGAGATAGGCCAATGATTAATGCCCTTCCTCGGCAATGCACTGCCCGGTCTTTTTATCTCATCTATGAATGACACAGCGACATGTCGTGACTCATCGCTCGGTGTTGCAATTGTTGTGCGATATTCGATACCTTGCAGCTGACATATGAAGTCTCTTTGTAACTATCGAGTCTTGCTCGATAACCGTGAACACATCACAAAACTAAAGTGGGTCTCACCTTGCAGGCTCTTGTCTCTCGCAAATACTCGCATGCTAGCACGTTCGTCACAAGCTCGTACATGTCTCAAACAAGTATTCTTCTCCCGCTTCTCTCGCTATATAAGCTCAACCTTCATTCCCAGTCACCGGTAGTAACGGCCCCGGGTTCGTTCGGACAAGGAGTTTTGGAGGATCCAGTAAACGCCTTGCTAAGTTATTATCCATCTCAACTTGGTCTAGGTGTTGCCTATCTGCATTTCCTAAGGGAAAGTTTGACCAGAATCGGGAAATTTGAAATCGGTCACCCGTTTTATTTGTGCAACCAACGATTGCAATCAAACTACAGATACTGCAGCTACACTGTCAGTCCACATAAGACCAATCCATGTACCTGTGCGCCAAATGCTAGCTATAGTAGTAGGTAGTACTGTATCGCATGGATCAAAATATCAACATCAAGGTATTCAAATCGTTTCTACAACATACAAGCACTTTCAATACACCCTAGCGTCTATCTCGCAGATCGTACACACTGCTATCTGCCAAATATACCCAAGCATCGCAAAAACAACGTACAAAAGAACGAAAAAAACCCATAAGAGACTTTCACCCTGATGCCCCTGCGGCACTAGTGCTGGTGCTCGAGGGCTTGCCGCCCCGGTTTTTACTACCTTTGGGTCGTCCTCGTGGTCGCTTTCCTGTATTGGATTGGCTCTCTAATGGGATGTCACTGGCACTGCGTTTCTGAGCGTCTCCTCCATTGAGACGGCGTTCATTCAAATACCTATCATCACAACGTGTTAGTTTTCTATAGATATAACTTAATATAATTCCTTGACGCCGCCGGGTAGAACGGAAAAGGAAGGCGAGGAATCCATTCCCAGCTTCGCGAATCACCGGGATGGTGGTATGGTGGAATTTCACCAATGAATGATACCGAGTAAAACCGGGAGAGAGCCGGCATATAAATGGTGCGAGACTCACTGGGAAGACTTCTCGTCCAGCGTCGCCTGTAGAGGGGGTAACGGTGGCTGGCCCAGCTCCTGTCTCAGGCGATCAACGTCTTGCTTTGCAACGGCGTATTCGCCCTCCTCTAGAGTGGCGATTTTATTGCGAATTTCTGTACATCTAAAAGCAAGTCGTAAGACAGGCACATGGCCGCGTGTGACCGAGGAACTTACTCCCTCGTTATAGAATTTTCCAATAGGTCGGCCTGAGGAATCATAGATACAGGCACATATTAGATGGAAAGGTATGCGCCACACACCTTGTCACGATCCTCATTGATCTTGGGAGCAATAAAATCAGACGAGAACACGAGAGCAGTACCCCGTGGAATCGCTCACCTCTCGCAAACAGTTCAGTAGCCTAGTCCTTTCACTTTCCAGTCTATATTCGCATCCCGAAGATGAGATAGCATCAAGAAGCATCCGAAAAACATCCATCCGAGTAACACATGATGAGCCCGGTGACTCATGGAGATATCGCGAATACGCACTTATTCTTCTGTTCCCTGATATCTTGTATAGCCTTGCCTTTCTGCTCAAGAGAAGCATGAGCGGAGAGTATATGCGCCGTGTGCAACTGAAGCGTAAGGGCGTGTTTCCTGGGGGAAATAAGTAATCAGAAAGTGACCGGAACGATGGCTGCCTTAAGTGCGTGGCAATAATACAACTGCTTTGCCATCGCTAAGATATCAATCCAGCTATTACGAGAATAGATCTGTTGAATGAGACGCAAATAGCCCTACCCATGGTGCCAGTGGCCCATAAGGGTGGGTAGCCATCGAAAGGATATGACAATATAATAGAACTTGAACCCTACAGACTCAACACCGCACAAAATACTCACTTTAATTCAGCGGTCTTAGCCAAATGCACTAAATCTTTCGTCCAGTCCCCCGTTGCTACCAGCCCTTGTGAAGTTGTGACGAGTGGAGCCACGGTGTTCTGACCCACGTTCATCATGGGGGTACCTGGGCTTTGCGCGTGAGATGGGCCAGGGTGATGCGCCATGAATGCATTGGAGGTGGTGGCGTATTGTTGAGGGTGTTGTTGCGAATGATGCGCCATGTTATTAGGCGCATACATTGAGTCGAGAAAAATATGGCGATCTAAGGGTCTGGGGTCTCCTGCAAAGAGGAGACGGGTTTTCGGTGGTGGGACTCACTGGGAGAGCGAAGGACTCCGAGCACTGCTGTATCTTGTGTTTACCCTTGTTAGAAACCGAAGCCTTTCAACTCGAAAGGGATTGTAACCGTGCCTGGTATCGATGCCTGATTATGTCAGGAAGTTGAATGCGATAGCAACCTGCTCTCTTTATAATAATCCCCATAATTACAGTATCAATTATCACACTAGGCCATCCATGGTTGGGGTGTCTCAGCTAAGCAGTCAAACAGGATTGATACTATTAGCCATGTCTGTTATGAGGTGCCATATGTGGAAACAGTGACTAATATTACATTACATGGCCTGTTTCCCTTGAGAAAAGAGTCTAATACCCCACATCAATCTGAAGCCATAGCAAACATTAGGGGGGGGGGGGGGGTAGTGTTACTTATAATTTATGGTATTAGATATTATGGCCCCCTGGGGCAGACCTGGACCTTGCTATACTAGTAACTGGTTTTGAGAAATTCCAGAGCTAAAATTTCACTGCCATGGTATACCAAGTATTGGAGATCCAGACCCTCAGAGCATGGGAACAAGCATGGGAGAAGGATACTTTAGCAAATGAATGCTGTAAAACATGAATACAAAGCTTTTTATGTACCAAATATATGTAAATACCATGTGAAACATAGTAATAGCCACAAATCTTTGGGCAAAGCTCTGAAGTATGCTTACATAATACATTTTCTACACCAAGCTAAGTCCAAGTTACTGTTGGCATATCATGGACACTACTATAGATTTTCCATTCTTTTATTCATTTTCATTCAACTATTCCGACATTTTGATACATTACATAAGCTTCCTAATTAGGATACAGAAAAGCGCACTCATCCTACCTTAGATACCTCAGTCCTTTACCAGAAAGACTGAGGTATAGTAACATCATTATTACAGTTAAACACATACTTACACATTCCTTTTGTAAGGACCATTTTATTATTTTCTTATCTTCGCTATGTCTTGGTTCTCGAACACTTTTCCCATTACACCTCTGGCTCTAGGGCTAGAGGTATCATTTGCCATTTTACTTCTCATAGCCCTCACAGGCTTTCTTAACCATCGTTACCATTTTATATCACAGATCAGAGACTGGGTATCGCTTCCAGCCAGCCAGCACACTGAGTAGGGACTGGTAGTAGGCATCTCGCCAACCAGCTCCAAGCCCCAGTAAAGCCTGGATATACTAATAAACACTTTGTTCAGGATTGTACCTCATCATGAGGATACGGTTCCTGAACATGCGTAACAAACCTCTATTATTAGTACAAATCTCTCACTGCTGATTAATCAAGTTAAAAGTCGTACAATAGTTGTTCTCTCTTTTTCTTATTGGCCGATTGATTCCTCAGACCACTTTTTGTATATTCTCCTTTCGGTCTGAGGAACGAACAGTTCACTATATAAAGCCTTACCTATTCATGTATGGCTCCTTAGTTTTCTATTACTGAATTTACCCGCTTTACTCCTCAACGAAAACCTTTGAAGCTTACCTCTCAAAGTCCTCTACTCGCTATATTTACTAGCGTCTGTCGACCTCAAGCTTATCGAACCCCTTACTCCCTGCAAGTGCAGAAGGAGACAGGTTTTGTTTTTGTTATAGTTTATCGTTGCCTCACACCTTTAGAGTCTTTTCATTTACAGTTCTTGTCATCACATCAGTTACAGCACATTGTAGGCCTATTTGCATGAAATCCACTGGCAAATCTAACTATGGTACAATAGAATGTCACACTCAATCCTTAGTATGAGTAAATATAGATATTGTAAGTGCAAATAAGCTTTCCATGCATTGGGTATACCCAAAGACATCATCTGTTCTCTTCAATCATTGTGAGTACTAACTATTGTTGCATGATGGACTTAGCTTTTGATGATTGAGCCTTATGCACCACTGGCACCAGCCACATCCCTCCAGATGGCTGGGAAAATAGGACATCAGACATTCCCATAGCTTAGAAACTTGGACTCAACGCTTTCTTGACACCTCAGTCTTCATATCAGATACTGAGGTGAGTTTGGAAACTTTTACATATATAATTTTAGTTTTACTGAAGCAAATACCTAGTATCTCTTGTATCAGGTACTAAAAACATCACTAACATCATACATGTATTACTATTTTCCAAGTCTTTCAATCCTACCTGTGTGGACCTGGTTGAAGTCATAGTATAGAAAAGACCCTATATTTGTGTAATGAGAAGGGTACATCGGCCGGTGCAAATTAGTGTACTAAGTGATGATCTAGTCTAAGAGCCTGTTCAGGTATATGCCTTCTTGCAAACATGGGCTGTTACAGACCAGATTTTGAGTCAGAGTTTGAATACCAAGTATTTGCAAGATCATATCTTCCAAAATAGAAAGTAACACTCAACCATTTAATCCATGAACATATTAGCAAGCACTCAAAATTCAGATTTTTGGGCCAATTTAAAACAGCACCAACAGGATAAAGACAATATTATTTCAGCTGCCAACGCAGCTGGCTTTGTGGTTATATCTTACACTGAGCATCTATACAATAAATGTCCATACCATACATTGTCTTTGTCGGGAGAAGGGTGGGTAAGGGAGCTTATCAATGGATACTATTACAATTTCTATTGGACATTTAAGGACTACTCATTTCTCTTTACTCATCGGTTATACCATCGGACCAATGACTCATTTCCTTCACATACACTCCCATTTTTCTCGCATTCACATTACCTATTATAGTACTTAGTCCTCAACAGACGGACCTGCCCTAGATAGGACCTAACTCCTATCACCAATTCTTTCCATTATAAATATGCATGTAACAGTAGTAGTATTCTCCAATACAATTCTATGCAGTTTACGCTTACAAAGCTAGACTCTTAAGATTAAGACTTCTACTCAGAAGAAGACTAACTCTATGGAAGAACTCAACTCTGCACTACATTCCCGAACTTGTCTTCGGATAAGTCTCTTTACAAAACCTCGACGAACCCTCGGACTTTGTTAAGCACTTTGTGCGTAACACCTTGTGCTGCAATTAGCAAGGTAGTGCTCGTCTATACTCGTCATAAAACCCCTATCTTCTATAGTTCAACTATCCCTCCTCCTCAAAACCCACACCCATACATCCCTGGGTTTTACTTTGAAGGATCATCATACGTACCACCCCACAAAAAACCAGACCACTCCACTGTTCTAGGAGGCAAAGCCCATACACAAGTTCCGTGGAATCTGGGAGGATTGTGTGTTAGTTTGTTTTTGTGTGTGGTTTTCTAACAATAGTTCTCATCTTCAACACCACATCTGAGTATTGTTCTTTGTGGTACATCAATATGTGGTGGTAAATTTCTAATATTTCCTACCCTAGCTGAACTAACAAGAGTCTCATAGATAATTGGAACCTCCTCAGTATCCAGGAGGACTCAAAGGACTTCTTATTGTGGTGCTTGAATGGTTTACAGATATGGACCCAGGAACTCCTGGTCCCTGGAGATTACCTATCTGTGAGGGGGAACTGTCAGTGTGGCAAGAAAGTGACAACTCGCTACTGGCTCTAGGCCGAGTGACAACCATCTGGCAGCTGCACTGGTGTGGATTGTATGGGCCTTCATGATGAGTGTCAGTTGGTATTTTCTTGTTTGCTTGAAGTTAGTTGTCCGGGGTGTTTGGGTGATCAGTCCAAGGCCAGACAATGAAGAGGAAGAGTAGTTTGTAGGCTAAGTTGTGAAAAAAGATGTAATGGTCACTGGGGAATGCCACACGAGAGGCTAGATTGGTGAGAGGGCTCTCAAGCGAACTAGAATATCATGGTGGTAAGTCTACTATCAATTCTGGGAATGCTACCATCTAACTATGAACAAGAGGGTCTTATATACTGGTTCAGAGCTAAGCTGGTAGAGTAAAGTGTTACAACTAGAGTGAGATATGAATGAGAGTATTCCTAGTTTGCATGAATAGCCAAGTGGCTGAGTCCTTGGAGTGACGAGAGTCACGTCCAATCTCTAGGCTACATGTGTGATCCTTAAAACTTCTGGTCTATCAATATGAATTTAGCTGTATGGAATGGAAATTGCAATTATTATTATAGGTTTGCACAAGGTTTTGATAAAAATTTGAACTACTTTCAGAATTTAGACAAGATATTGTGGCTGATATTAGTTGGTCAAGCATCCTCGTGACTACAGGCACATTTCTGTTGCTGACAAAGCCTAGAAAAACATACTTCAACGCGTGGGAACGTCCTATGGGTTCAAGAGCCTGCCGTTCGGAACAGCCTAAACCGGGTACGGTACCAGGAACCAGCAATGAAAGATCATCCTCCTGCATTTCTGACCTATGCATTGGGTCGAACAGGTCTCGATCTTATTCCGAATGCACAAAATCACAGGCCTCAAGTTACATTGACTTTTGCTCAGTCCCTGGACGGAAAGATTGCAGGTAGTGGAGGAAAGCAGCTCAGCTTAAGTGGGGAAGAAAGCATGATAATGACACATTGGTGCGCATCCAATCTACTGTGGGCGATTCAACGTACTTAGATGTCTAGCGAAACATAGGATGAGAACTATGCATGATGTCATTCTGATTGGGATCGGTACTGCTCTAAACGATAATCCTCAGCTTAACGGTGAGGTCGGCCAAAACCTCCACTATTTAACTAGCTTATAGAGCCCACAGTTAGATTGCTACCGCAGGCATCACAGAGTGGCTTTTATCACATTCCTCGTCCAGTGATACTTGATTCTAATCTCCGTCTCGACACCGAATGCAAGTTGCTGAAGAACTATAAAGGGGGAAATGGTCGGAGACCTTGGGTGTTTTGTGCACAGCTGTCATCAGGATCGCCTGAACGGAAAATGCGTAAAAGAGCCTTGGAAGAAGCAGGAGCCAGTGTATTTGAAATCCCTGCCGCTGTAACTGGTGGGCTCCTTATATTACCGCTGAAGGGTTTCTTCATGTCTCTCAATCTACTTCTCTCAGGCCATCTATCCATTCCGGCGTTGCTTGAACAGCTACATGCTTTGGGTACTCGTTCCATAATGGTGGAAGGGGGTGCAAAAGTTATAGGGTCGTTTCTATCGAATTCTCAGAAGTCAGACGCCGCGGGTTTGGTAGATGTATTGATAGTTACAGTTGCGCCTATCATGGTCGGGAACGAAGGCGTTGGATATGAAGCCAATACTAACGAAGGACATGTATGTATGCGCATAAGTAACGTAACGTTTTGCTGTGCTCATCATAAACTGCATCACCAGGCTCCTCTTATACAGCATATTCGAACGGAACTGATGGGCAAGGACACAGTGATAGCAGGCAAACTGAACTAATAAATATAAGGCCCGACCAATTGAGGACACTGGAAACAGGAAATAAGGATACGTGCAAACAAATGAAGATGAAGTATCATGCTTGTTGTTTGCAGCAAGCAGCAATTTTGTTCACTCAGTTTCCCCTGTCCAGTAGTCAAGAGGCTAAACAGCGGCCAGAAAATCTTCAAATTGGTGCATGTTAACCCTCCAGGTTTGTCACTAGGCCAGGAGACAATTATCTCCATTCCAAGCACCCATGTATTCATTTTGATCACCATGATTGTGTTAGTGAGTGCAGTGAAACCAAAACGCATAATGATTGCACTGCCCTCCAGGCAGACCTGGTCACTCAAGTGGACTTAATGTTGATTAGATGCCATCAAAAAAATGAAAAACAGTGCGACATGTCATGACGTGTCTAACCGGGTATGTTACGATCATGATCTAGGCCTATACACTAATTACTTTTCCATCTAGTGCTCTCATGCAGACAGATCGCCTTTCTTCAACAGCTCTGGAGAACACCTTCCGCTAGAATCACTAGAATATGCGCCATTTGGAAAACCGGTTACTGTGAAACTCACAAACAGCTCTCACAGCTAAGTACTGCATTTTACTTAAGTGCGCAAGACTTAGATTTTAAAATGAATTATAATATTAGAGTCTATCACTATCAATGACTATCTGCATTCGGAAATTTACAGCTCATGCCAGTGGTTAGAATGAATAGAGTTTTGAAGTGGACCCATCCGACCACTACAGTAAAATGTCCTCAGCTGCTAAAAAGAAGTATCAATAAGAGCCCTAGCTCCATTCTCCGAGAAACAAACACTTTATGGTAAACATGATTCTGCCATAGGCTCTATCTTGGCGTAGACGTATAAGACCTTTCGTATTCAACACTACCATGGTGTCAATGTCATATAAATCGAAGCACTGCTTGGACGAAGTTGAAACAAACCTAGACAATGGTACAATGCGGCAGCGGCAACGCGAACGGTGCTTGTTGCCTTTGGAACAGCAACATCAAACAGAATCGCAGGAGGGGAACCTGAAACAGAAAGAGGCAGCGTCTTCGCATACCTGCAAGGAGGGTGTGATATTAGTGCTAATAGCGATATAGGTGATGAAGGCAAACAGTAAGAAATTGACAGAATCCTTCTCCAAAGTAATATTGTTCATATCAGGCAACTTGAGCTCTGATAGTGGGTGTTCACCAGGAACTAAACACTGATGTATCAGTACGTGAAAGTGATAGATCCCAGTAAACCAACTACCATCAAATACGAAGTCTTCATCTGTGCTCAGTTGGGAGCTCCTTGGGACGGCAGAGCATATATCCATATATGCAGCATTTTCTGTTCGACTTAGAATCGACGATTCCCTTTCTCGGCCCAAAGAACCCAACCTTATATGGACGTCCTGATGCTCGATATTTACTTTGTCGTTACTCTGGCGTCCATGCTTGTGTACCGCCCCAGATATAGAAGAGCTATATGCAGCATTGTTCCAAGGAAGCTCGTTTGAAGCAGAGCTCAGAGAAAATTGTTGATTCACGTCTCCTGGGAGTGCGTGAGAGATTCGACGTGCTTGACCAGGTTCCTCCGACGATTTTAGTTAGAAATAAAACTGCAAAAAAAAAGGTAGTACTTCAGACGAGCGAATATTTTGGGGAGGCCAGGTCGCTTCTTGAAATTTCGACAGTTCTACGATGAGAGAACAGTCTTCGAGACGGAAATCCATACCTCTCGCGTTCATCGCAGACTCAACTGCTCCCATCCCATTGACATCTTCCTCGTACATTTGAACATCTGCCTCCCAATCTCCAGGAACGTGAGATACTCCTTGCTTTGTAAAGCGATTTGGGCTATTGATTGGCGTCATAGACTGAATGCGTGATTTCTGGCGTTCCAGACGAGGATCTATAAGGCAGCGTGAATGTTTATCTAGAGATATGGTATAAAATAAATGGTATGAAGCACCTCCAATGCAGAAAGGGGATCGTGCTTCTGTCTGCGCCATAAAGTTATTTTTCCAGAATTCCACCAATGTTTTGGTATGCACTTGATAGCAATCACGACTAAGAACCAGATTTTTGTCGGCACCAAGACTTACAGTTTCCTGGTACACCGCACAACATATCATCTATGAGTCTTCTATGTTCCCTAGAAAATTTCCTCTGCACCAGAGCACGCCTCTGGAGCATCTGTTGTTCCACGTACTGCAAGCGTGCAGCCTGATTTTGAAACCCAATGACAGTGACGGCCATTTTAACGTTAAGACTCACTAGTACGCACCTTCAATTCATCATCAGTCAGTTCTATCCTCGTATCCATATGTGCGCAAAATCGCCTTTTAATGTTTGGAGCTTGCTTGGGGACGGTGTGAACAACAAAAGGAATGTCGTCAGGTTGTGCGTTATGAAGAGAATCGTGTTTGGGTGTGCAATATCTAAAAGGTGAAAGTTGACCTGTGACCAAGCCTAATAAGGAACGTGATAAAGGGGTTTTGTAAATGAGAAAATACTTCGTTCCATAACAGGTTGGATGGACGACTGAAGATCGCAAGGCAATATAGCCATGTGATCATCCGGATCATTTTGAAATGGTGCATGTAGCGAAAGTTCCTGAGTAAAGGGAGGACCCATGTCGTCCAGAAGAAAGCCCAAATCAGGTGGATCCATATAGGATATTCCCCTGATAATCTATTAGACAAAAGAAGATGGTGAGAAGGGTAGTTATAGACTTACATGTTCGTATTATTCCCAGGTACTAGATTGCAACCCGTACCTAGCTGTCTAGCAAGTTCATCATCAATTTCCCCGTCAAGATCTAGACCTCCATTGGGACCAAAAAAACTGTCGCCAAAATCAAAGCCACCTCCAAACTGAGAAGAGGAAATATCTAGCGCAACTTGACCGCAAGAAATGTCGGCGGAAGAAGAGAGTAAATAGTCGTGATTTTCGACTAAGGTATGAGTATCGGCACGTATCACCTCTGTGTTGGCGGCTCGTCGTCGACCTGCGCCTGTTGCACTCTTCCCTGCAGCTGATTCACCGTTTTTAGTATTCACATTTGCACCGGTTCCATCTTTATTAATGAACCCTTAGTGATGGAGTATCAGGGAAAAACTGAGCTTACATCCAACGTCCAAATACACGTCCCAATTCTAGTAATGAGGTCTATTGATTTTGTTTTCTTATTCGTGTTCTATTCGCTTACCACAACCATATTGTCCAGATCCATGGCGAAAAAGTCTTTAGGATCGTGGGCTAATGTAACTGCAGAGGTCCTGGTATTAAAGTGAGATGTTACTAAGTGCCAAATACAACGAGAAAGGATCTGACCTAACAGTAGGTTGCGCCATTTGGAGCTGCGCTTCAGCCGAGTTCGAAGAACACAAATCTTGTACCACGCGTTTGAGAGAGTTGAAGCAAATCGTTACATCAGACATAAAAATATCTTCTTTGGCTGAGTTAAATTAGGCAACTGTATCTCAGAGCTGTAGTTTTCAAGGTATATCAAACCTTTATACACGCTAGGCAAGTCGAGATTAGCCAGTGTTTATTGAGATACGTTAAGCATCACTTACCGCGCGGCCCCGACTAACAAATTACTGGACAATCGGAGAGCTAAAGGTTCAGCAGGCTGGGCGATAAGATTGCATAGTTGTGTGATATCTGCAGTCATGACAGAGTGTCTCGGAAGTTTCTTGAAAGTAGACTTCGACCCAAGAGTAGCGGCAAGCCTAATTGTGAAAGGCACTCCAGTAAGAACGCATATAGCCATGAAACCGAATGTGGACTAAAGAGCCTGACCACAAAAGACCGAATCCACTATCTCGCTGTGACAGTAGTTCTGCAGAAAAAAACATGGTATGGCACAGGTCTATGTCAACTGTATGGTGGTCGCCTACTACCAAAATGCAGGTTCCACATTGATGAATTTCGAGCTTTTCAAGTTTGAAGTTCGAGCTAACATCGAAGACCGCTGAGTTTGATGCTGGCGCTCAATTTCACCGTACAATTTAACCCTAATCCTAACCAAATTACACTGAGCCGTAGCGCGAGCGCTTGCTCTACACTATAGCTGGCACTAACTGGAAGGTAGTCAACTCATTTATCGTAGGAATTCAAGTTCTGAAACGTGCATGCTAGCATTAAACTCCAATTATTTCTCCCCCACGATACCGAAAGCGTGAAATAAATTAACTTGAATATCCACCACATTATCATGTTCGTAGGTTATTCTCATGAGTTCATAAGGCAGCTTGTGAGGTGGACCCGGTATCAACAAGTTTATATCCATGCACAATAGCTGGCTCTCTCTCGTCAAATCAGATATGACTGCTAAATTTATGTGTTCGCGTATTACTATTATCAATGACACACCTTTGCAAGCACTCGTGGGCTGAAGTCCCTTCTATCTTATCATGATTCTGCCCATCAAGCAGCATCAACCGCCAATGACAGTTTACCCCTATCCGGCTCTATTCGATGCTGTTAAGGACGTCAGTGAGACGCACAATGATGACATGCCTGGCGTCCACCCCGTGTTTTGCAGTGTTTTTGATCTATGAAGTCAATGCAGCATCGACTCGATTACTGAAGGTGGAAGAACATAATCCATTCCCAGACCATAGATGGCGAGATAGACGTAGAGATGCGGCTTTGATAAGGACCTATAGCGTAATGGGCCGTCAAAGGTGAAAGCTGAACCGATTTTGAACCCGTGGGTTGCCATGTATTGAATTGTATTTTCATGTCCGTGATTTGTGCAGATGGGCTCGCGCAGCCGCACGGATAAGGTTCATCGTGGCTGGGATATGAGGAGATATCGATCTTGACTCCACATATCCACACCGTAGCGTTGACTCAGGCTGGCAGAACACCTACTGAGTAATAAGTATCGTCACGTTTCCCTCTAAGCGCTGCGACATAAACGAGACACACCGAGATTGAATTACTCTCGAGAATAACATAAAAGAAACTTTTAATATTTAACATGTGTTTCCTGTCAAAACATATAATTGAAATTTCTTTCTACTGCTAAACGAATGATACTACTTACAGAGCTGTAGCAGCGGCCTGCAATGAAGATGAGTAACTACACCCAAGAATTAGGGGCGAATCCTGCAGGGAATCAACTCTAAGCATGTCACTGTATCAAATGTCAGGGTGAATACTAGTAGGGCAGCTTTAAGTTGGGACACTGATAGCATCATCTCAAGAACCTGCCGCCGCGAATACGTGGTAGGGGCGACTTCCCTATACGTGATTACAACCGATATAATAAACGTTAGGGCTCACCACTACCAGAGTTTCGGTATCGTAACATACACTCGGGGACTTCTTGATCAAGCTCCTTGCGCGTTACTGGCAGGTTTACCGACTCTATAGAGCACTGCTTATGACCAGTGTTCCTGACAAGGGTCCATTTTACCGTCCGGCAACTCGACAATGCCACTTGCTGTGTTGTAGAAGATTCGTCATCTTAACCATAATAACATAACCGGGGTTAGTTTACGTCCAAACACATACACGATCCATGCAGAAGTTGGACTGCAACCAGTGCATGTTTAGACGCATTTCCTGAAACCCCTAAACACAATGTACCTGAAATTCTACCATTTACGCTCCAAAGCGGCTTAAAGGACCAAATTCAGCATCGATCCCCCGCGGAAAACTGAGAGAGTACAATAAACTTACGCGTAATGAAAGAAAGTGCATTAAAAGAGCCACACAGTAGGCGTCAGACTACTGTGAGGGCGCAACAGTAATGTACACAATATCAGCATGGGATCCAGCTGTTTGATATCTCCTTGGGGCCTTTAATCAGGAGCCACTGGGATAGAGCGGCGAGCTGAACCAAGGGCTCATGTCGAGCAATAAGTGTACGCACGCATCCATGAGCTGATACAAAGCTGATATTGCAGGTTTAATGAATCTAGATAAGCACACCTTCATCATGTACATATTCTGACAAGTGGTGGCTCACTCACCATCATTCATGTATATGTAGAGGAGTGATCCGAACTGCACTATTTGAATCCGCTTTCAACCGTTCCAATACCCCCGATCCCAGATTAGTAGAACAACATTAGGAGCATTGGCTATGTATGCAAGTTGAGACTGGGAGAGTGAACAGGACCATTGGGGTTAGAGCTAGCGTATTATTGATCAACTCGTCAGCGAGGTAAATTCAACCCGCTACAGATTCCCGTAGCATCAAAATTATCTTACATATATGTTCAGTGTCATATGTACGCCCCCAAATAATAATAGAATGTGTGTCTTTCTCTATGACGATGGTTGAGTGATACATTATCCGTAGTGGATGGCTGATGCGACGAGACCAACACTCCCCATGATGGCCGAGCTGAAACAGAACGTCCTCCTAAGCAGATGAGGCTGAGACTGGGCCGCCGCGGGTGTATGATCGCGGCCACTGAATATACAGGATCACTGTGATCTTGACATGACGTCGTTCACTTTTTAACTTCCCAACTTGGTAAAAGTTGTTTGTTTCCTATACACATGTTCCAGAATCCCCACTTCGGTGTCTTGCCGCCTCAGTGCCTCCTATGAACGCATTCAAAGCACCCGACGGCAACGCCTCGTCGTGATGCATGATCACCAGAATACTTTTCCCCGCGTTTCCCCGCATCGATGTCTGAAAAACACAATTCGATCAAGTTTGAATTCCAACCTACATAAATTTCCAGATCACAGTCGTCCCGACGGAAAGCGCATGCAGTCAGTAGCCTCGAGATCAAAAACGTCAGTGCACCTATACAAACATAGAGTAAACCCACTGATATCATGATCGATACTTACAAATGTGCGAGCCGAATACAATTTCAATGACGTTAGTATTGATCGAACTCAACTTCACTCCCGAGACAATATGGATCCAATGGGCTCGAAAGCATTGAGATTACGCACAACATGACGTTGATGTAGTACTGTATCCGCACATTTCAGTGAATATTTTGGTACACTGGAGATTCCGAGGACCTACAGAAAACGACGGAGCGCCGCATCCAATTTTGAAAGCTCCTAAGTTGACTGCGGGGATGCTAATTTGTCATCCAGTTGACAGATGATTGAACTGCGGTTCGTGCACAGTATCGCATCGAAAGGAAGATAACTCAGGCTGAAAGAAAAGGAGGGTAAAACGAAAGAATTTCTGCCTTGTTCGGCACTTGGTCAGCCTCGTTATATTAAAACGGTCTCGATTTTAATGGCGTCTCGGAGGAAGTGACTCGGCATAAAATAGGCTGATACTGTAACTTCACCATCCTAAATTGCTTTGCTTGGGTCCAAAGCTTGGGAAGCAAGATTGATTCTTGAGTGGATTACGGCCGCCGATCATGAGACTGAGAATACAGTTTAATCATAGTTCGATGAGGAATTGTATTTGGGAACGATTGGGGCGGGAGTGCCGTAGAGCCAGTTTCAATGAACACCGGTCATGCTAAGATGCTATAAAATTCAGTTTACAGTACTTGATAGTAACGTTACTGAGAGTATTCTGTCATGCCTTTAGCCCAAAGGCAAGAAAGCACGCAGAATGGACTTACAGGAAGTTTCTAAGCGAGAAATGATACTCCTAGACTAAGACTTGAGAGAAAATGACTAAACAGGATGCAGTATTGCTGTCGACGTGAGCGTAGTAGCTCTCGGCATTAGTTACGGTGATCAATGTGACAGTAGTGGCAAACGGCAATTTCCGACACGTCGAGCTCACTTTCGGTTTCTCCATTTCTCTTTCCTGGACCTGCACTAGTTGTTGTCTTTACCTCATATGTCATACAGCAATGGCCGTCTCAATGTAACCTTTCATCACCATCATGTTCCCCCTTTGTGTTCATAACCACCATCTCCAGCAAGATCGGCCTCTCACGCCCGCCTCGTAGCCCGCAACGTCCTCTTTCAGTTTAAGTCGGCCCTTGATCCAAGCACCATCGCGCAAGCTGTATTGAAGGTGTATGCATCAGACAGGCCGTCTAACACCCTTCAATCCCTGTCCTCACCTTGATAAATGCTATTTTATATTCCTTCATTAGCGCACTGCCGTATGTATTATCCTTTTTGATTTTGTCACTCGTTCCTGAAGTGGCTGGTATCCCAGCTGCACTCGTACGTACGCCCAGTAAAAATGATTATCCCGCCGGCGTCTCTGGTTATGCAGCGTGCGGCACTATACAGCATAAGATACTTTCTGCTTGACGATCGGAAAGGGTTGCCTCGTGTGGGGTCATGCGGGGCCGGCGGTTAACTTGGTCGCGCTGGTTCGTCGCACTTTCTTCATATGATCAGATTTTACAGGAAATGATTAATTGCTATCGTCCCCTTCTATAGTGGATCCACTTTCCGATATGGGATGTTGCCGCTATGGGTGCTACCCACCGATATCGTCTTCTCATTGGAGTCGAGCTCCTACAAGCTCGGCCTTCGTTCCGATATTGCGACGCGCTGCAGGCGCATTGCCTGATCCCTCTCTTCTCAATACATTGAATCCTATACAGTGATACAGTGCAGTGGGACATGCTGGGCAGATCAAGCTAGACTGGATGGTCTCATTACTTCTTGCTTTGCAGCGTCGTATCTGATACATCCTCGGACCCGAACAGATATACGAAAACCTTCCCAGTGTCTCACAAGCTCTTTGATAGGTGAAAGAGTACTGCAGCACAGAATCAGATGCCTCTCGTGGTAGAGTCGCATAACAGCGATAGTCACCGTGGTCCACGTTTCGTCAAATCTGCGGATGATCTAAGGAACTCGGGATTTGAGGAGTAACCGTTGATCTTCTTAGCCTGGATCATATAGCGCTACATTCGGAGTTCTGCACATGCAAAACTTGGAGCTCGAACTACAGGGTTGCTTCTCTATGAGGGAAGTAAATCTCGGGTTTCTGAACATGCCGGGTGGTGCGATGACACTAAGCTACGATTCGATCGGTGGATCCTGTGCGCACTGACATACCTTGTGCAGTATTCTGGAATTCTGGACTTGTATGCGACTGTGCAACATTCGGTCCTGTGCTCCCCATGGATCCACAACGACATCGGCATAGGCTGTTAACGTTAACCGTACCTGCACTTGACGCGTGTCCCCCTCGAAACGAGCCAGCCCGCCTGATTTTTCGTACCTCTTTCGGTTGAGCGCCATACCCCCTCTGCATGTTTCTTCAAGTTCGGAATCCAAGTTGACAACGTTCAGGTGCGATAACATAAATCTCCGGCGCGATGCCTTTTGTGGACAGATCTCTTATGACCGTCATCACGTACTTTGTCTGATAAATCCTTAACAGGCAGGTTTACGCGATAAGATAACGCTTGATCAATAGATTTGTGCGGCTTTGAGTTAGCCGACGAGTCGGATTCCCGAACATCCTTGCAGTTTTTTTCGGTCTCGCGGTCCTTGCCACTGGGCTTTCCCTTTCCTTTCCCCCTTCCTGCTCACCATTTCCTCACGTCTGTAGAAGGGAACGTAACGGCACGCGAATGTACGATCATCGCTGGCATGGAAAGTCCAGACAGTGCCAATGCGTCACGTCAAGGCTCTCGTTCTGATCTTCAGGTCCAAATTCTGACCCTCTTTTCTGCTCTTCACTCTGTTCTCTCCGGCGTCTTATCACTAGCATCCCACCACTGCCTTAACCTGCGCCCACGCATGTACCATCCCTTTACTTTAAACCCTATGATAGGATAGACGGGATGGCTGGGCCGGGGCTCTATTCAAAAGTCGTAATCCCGGTACACCGATCACCATACATGCACCATCAAATCCTTGAAATCCGCGATAAAACCGGGCAAGAGCGCAAAGTCGTTCACGGTACGAACTTGCGAAGAAGACAAAGATCACAATGCGCAACTGGCGTGTTTCTTGTTTCCATTTTTTCTTCAGGAATTTCAGGGATGAAGTGATCCCTGTCGTATCTCGTCGAGCGCGGATCGTTATGTGAGTCCGTTGAGAGCAGTCTGATTGATCTTGGCGATTGGTTCCGCAGGTCTCCTTGGCACTCGCGATCTTGTCTCATGCTTGGACATCTGAACACCTCGAGAAAACTTGATCATCATCTCGGATCTTCTGTAGATTGAAGTGATGTTGTAGTTTTCTTGAGATATTCGTGTTCATTCATTCAGATAAGATAATTCATCACACTTGACAGGCGGTGAGAGAATATGCTACTCTCCAATTTTTGCCTGTTGCGCAACGTCAACGGGCTAAAGCGTAGAGAAATACGTCCTCGCAATCTGCTCTTTCCCAAGCCATCACCCAGTTACGCAAACACTCGAGGCCGCTGTGATTCCTATGCTGTGACTCCTGGCTGCTCACCCTAGACATCAGGACGCGTTTAACATGCATGGTACATATATTCAAATTTCGGTATTATTCTCGAGTTCTATCCCCATGATCAACTGATGCATGTGATTACGAGTGGTTGAGAGGACAGAGTGTGGAGCTTTTATTTCCATTTTTCTTAATCAGGCGGATGCGGAACTCCAGTTTCACTCACGCTGGAGTTTGAGCGTGCACGCCCATAAACACGAGTGCGAGTGCGAAGCCTCGTCTGAATTCGACCAAGTTGGGACGTTGGCATGATGGAGCACACCAATTGTTTTTCCTTTCCAAACGCAGTAAACGAGTGTCATCAGACCGATATGCAATGGACCCCAACGGCGACCTATAGCTATCATGGCTCCTATCCAAACCTACTCAGCCTATCGCCAATTTTTCCTTTCCGCCTATCCACCAGCATGAACTCGAATGGACTAACTACGGAACTCGGAGTATGAAACTGCGGAACACGTAGCAGTTTGCCTGCGCACTTTGCGTAATTCGAGCAGTATGATTCTTGAGACTCGGGCCTTATGCCTTATGAGCCCTCACCATAGTCCAGTTGTCCACTATCTCACGCCATGTTCCGTGGCCAGACGATAATAACCCGTGCTCATGCCCATATTCGCCGCGACCTCGGATGCCCGTGTGTGTGACAGTGTACCCCCCAAGGTCGACGTGTCCTTGTGCACGCTACGTTTTCAAGCCCGAGCGTATATCCGCAGTTTTCTAGAATTGTGAATTTGGCAGGGAACGTGGTTGGGAATACGTGGGCGAAAGTTCGTGCTTGGAAGCCCGTGAACCTTCCCTCCAGGTCCAGGATAAGCCTATTTTGTATGACTCGAATGCGACAGGGGCCACTGATACCATAAATGGAAACCATATATGACCCCATCGGCCGACGATGAGACACCCATGACACATCTACGCGGTACGTCTGGCACGGCCATTGGCCACACATGCAGCGAGCCAAGTCGTTGAGCTTGGGTTTCGTGAGACTCGCGTCAAAACTGGGGAGACACGTATGATAAGTATACAATGACGCAAGGCCCTGGCGCTCGGCCGTATAGAGGGACGTACCTGGCTCGGCATCTGCCTTTAAGATTATGAATCCGTCGGAATGTCCATCCACGATGCCCGAGTCGGATGCAGAGGCGTGATCAGTATTGACCACTCAACACCAAAGAGGGGGGGGACTATGCGACGGCGTCCCCACTTCGATTTGCCCATGCCGAACGGTTCGATGTCATCACCGCTGAGGTCGTCGGCGCGTCAGTAGTCGAAAAACTTGAGAGCTTTTCTTGTCCGGAAGGTTAGTAACTAACTATAACTAAGTCACCTTCCCTTCAAGGGGGGGAGCTCACCAGTCCTCTGCGGTTATGTGTGGGTTGTGACGGACGATGTGATCGTATGGTCGCGTCAACAACTGTAGTGCGATTGAGTGATTGATAGGACGGGATCGCTGGATTGGACGGGTTAGGTCGTGAGAGGGTAGTCTAGGATACGATGGCAAGTCCACGGGCGTGAGTTTGGTGGCAGGTGCTCCATCAGCGCGTCGTCGTGACCAGCTCAAGCTGAGTTGAGTACAAGCAAAACACTCATGTGCCGCAGCCATAGCAAACATAGGATCATCGATAGTATCCGCGTCAAAGCCCCGCGCCCCCATCTATCTCTGATTGCGTCCCATCACGACTATGACAGTACCATGGCAGGAGACACGTCATTTTCCGTGTTTGACGCGTGTATACGACGCGTCGAATGGACGGAACTTTCAAAGTTGAGTGGGGAATACCATACCAACAATTTTAATACTAGTAGTGATGAGTGATGGGAAGGAGTGGCCGATGAGACTTTCAAAGATGGGATCCGACCTCGGGGGTAGCATAGACTGACGGTCCTGGTTCACGTATTTCCATGAATCCACGAAGCAGCCTGAGAGTTGTTCCTGGTATGAATCCAATATCATCTAAAGCAACCCCCCTCCCAGGGATTGTCAGTCAGTTCTACGCAGTAAGCACTTCCCCCAACCCCCCAACCAACTTCCTAGCAAACTCCCAATGCGTCATTGAAGCCGCCATCACAACGCCAACGTCCGAAAGAATCAGCGTCCCCAAGTCGTCCTGAATCCAGGGTAAGGAAAAGACCAAGCGACATTTTCGCTATTATCGCTTTTTGCTATTTTTGCTCTCGTGGTTGGTTGCCTAGTATTTATTGCCTACGCGTCCCCCCGAGTCCCCGTCGCCCCCAATAAAATCACCCTCGCCCCTTCTCTGAGAAATTGCGCGCTTCATTCGTGGAACCAACTTCTTCTTCTTTTTTTTTTTTCTTTTTTTGGTTTTTTTTTTTTGGTTTCCCTCTCTCTCGTAAGCCCGTCATGTCGAGCCTGATCGAGCGCGAGGAAATCGTGGGGAAAAACACGCTTGGCTTTGGCTTTGGCTTTGGCTTTGGCTTTGGGGGCGATAACTCAATTGATCGAGCGTTCTCGAGTTCGAGCCCACCGTGCTTCGAGCCCGAGGCCCGAGGCCCGAGCGTCATCGTCCCCCTTCTCCTCCCATCGATGGAACCCAAGGGCCCTCGAGTCGGTTGCGCCTCCTGCGTACGTACACCGTCACTTTCTTCCAAGTCGTACGATCCGTCATGATGTTTGATCGTGTACGCATGTCGCATGGACGCATTTCATTCCATTCCATTCAAATTCGTTCGTTCGTTCGTTCATTCGTTCTTCTTATCGCGCTCGCCGTTGGCTCGTAGTACGCGTACGCGTACGCGGCGGGTTTATGCTGCAACGGCATCTACGGCACCTCGACACAGCGTGCGGGGACGGGGGTGATACGCAACATATCATAGTCATAGTCATAGTCATCATCATAGTCATCTTCATATTCACATTCGTAGCTTAGCATTCGTATTCGTAACCATACACATCCACAACCATACTAGTCCTAGACACAACGCATCATCCCGTTCCATTGCCACTTTCATTTCACGGTGCATTTCATCGGCTTTCATTCCGTGCCAGATACCGTTCGTACGCGCCATTTCACGTTGGTAGGTAAAGGTAGTAAAAAGGACTTTTCTCTCTCTCTTTGCGTTCGTCTCCATTCATTCCGTCATTCCCTCCATCTCCGCTTCTTCTCGTCATCGTTAGCTCCCTTCCCTCCTTCCTTCCTTCCTTGCATACTTCCCTACTTCCTTCTTTGCACAAATGCCATTTCCGCCCATTCAACTCCACACTTCCATTCCCATTCAAAAGTTCACATGTCATACGAAAACCCCCCCTAGTGCTCGAGTGCGGTAAAGAAAAGAAAAAAAAAAAAAAGTACTCCAACGTCCCCACGAATAACTTCCGATGATCCAAAGATGAGTGAAAGGAAGGAAGCAAAAGCAATAGCGATGAACACAAAAACAAAAACAAAAACAAAAAACAAAAAAAAAAGGTGACGGTCCACAATCCGATCCGGCCATGGGGTATGACGCAGCGCGAGTAGTCGTGCCGTGTAGAACATCGTGAATCGGTCGCTTGATGTCGGTGTGCCGGGCCTCGCTGAGGCTGATGAACGGAAAAAGGGGTAGGATGGGATGAGGAAATGGGTGAAACGATGATAGATGGTGGATACATGAAGAAAAGCTTGAATGAAAGCAACAACAATGCGTGTGTACATGAATGAAAAAATGGTGTATCGACTTGCAGCAATGGGGATGGATAGTGGATGCGTGATTCAAAAGACGATCCGTGCGTAGTATGCGTTCGTTGCGTTTGCGTTGGCGAGTGGGATATACGGGATTGCGGAATGGTGTTGGCAGATTTGCGACGAAGACTGCAGAGAGAGACCCCAAGTGGAGAGGGAGACATGCGATAATGATACAAGAGTCGAGGTGTCATATGGGAGGTGGTGATGTCGAATAAATAGGAAGAATAACAACATTTGGCGCAGGGCGTCGAGTGCGGATTGCGTATTTGACGTATAGCACGCGTTGAGCTGCTATCGTCGCAAAAACGCCTTTATAGTCGTCCCTCGCGCGTGGAGACATGATAGATTTCCAAGTAGGGAAAATAGTGCAGAGGCACCACATATAGAGTGTTGGGCAGGATTGTGGACCCTCTAGATTGTCGCGTCGCCTGTACGTGAGAAGAGAGGAGACAATGTGCGGTGAACTGTGGGTATTTAGGTCGCGCCTTTGATGCTTCGCCCGACGCGACGCTTGATGCGCCTCTTTGTGCGGAAGAGGCCGAAGCGAAGGCGGAGGGCGAGAGCTTGCCACTGTCGGCGGAGGGTATGGGTGCAGGTAGGGCTGGATGACGTTAGCTTGGGCGAAGGAAGGCGTGAAGAAGGGTGACTTACGTCCACTCATTCTGGGCCTCTTGGTCATCGTCGTCGTGTGTGATAACCTCGCTCTCGATGGAGTCGTCACCTGAACGCGAACGCGGAGGACGCTTCTCTTTGAGAGGGAGATGGGGCGGTGGGTCGTCTTCGTCTGTTGGTAGGAGGGGCGAGTCGTAGGAGGCAGGGTCGTCGCAACGATAGGTAGGCGCGTGGTCGTCATAGGCGTAGGACGTGAATCTGGTGGGGTACGCGTTGGCGGTGGTGCGCGAGGCTGAAGAGGAACGTCTTCTGGAGCGATCGTCGTAAGCGTATGGGTTGGCGCTCCTGTAGCGCGTCTCGTGATAGTCGTAGTCGGCTATAGCGTCCTGGACATGGTGGTCTGGGACGAGGTGGTCGTCGAGATGGTCGTGGTGGGTGTGGAGATCTGGGTGACATACGCGAACGGGAGGAAAGTGGCGGTAGTCTGGGTCGTGGAGGTCACCGTGGTGGTCTACGTAGACGGTGAGGGAGGGGGAGTGGGACTTGATGGGAGAGTAGGAGGGGTCGAGGAGGCGGGAGATGTCGGCTGCGTGGGTGGAGGGGAGGTAGTTTGAGGGATGGGATACGCAATCCCATAGATCGATCCTCCGTGCCCC